AGTGCAGCAAACTCAGTCCAGAAGTTCAGTGAGGATCTTTGAATGATCCAATGTTGTCCTAAATGACTGATGATGATAAATAGAATGCACCTGTGTGTAATCAAGTCTCCGTATAAATGCACCTGCTCTTTGATAGTCTCAGGGTTCTGTTTAAAGCGCAGAGAGAACCATGAAGACAAAGGAACACACCAGGCAGGTCCGAGATACTGTTGTGGAGAAGTTTAAAGCCGGATTTGGATACAAAAAGATTTCCCAAGCTTTAAACATCTCAAGGAGCACTGTGCAAGCAATTATATTGAAATGGAAGGAGTATCAGACCACTGCAAATCTACCAAGACCCGGCCGTCCCTCCAAACTTTCATCTCAAACAAGGAGAAGACTGATCAGAGATGCAGACAAGAGGCCCATGATCACTCTGGATGAACTGCAGATAACTACAGCTGAGGTGGGAGAGTCTGTCCATAAGACAACAATCAGTCGTGCACTGCACAAATCTGGCCTTTATGGAAGAGTGGCAAGAAGAAAGCCATTTCTCAAAGATATCCATAAAAAGTCTTGTTTAAAGTTTGCCACAAGCCACCTGGGAGACACACCAAACATGTGGAAGAAGGTGCTCTGGTCAGATGAAACCAAAATCGAACTTTTTGGCCCCAATGCAAAACAATATCATTTTTGTCGTAAAAGCAACACAGCTCATCACCCTGAACACACCATCCCCACTGTCAAACATGGGGGTGGCAGCATCATGCTTTGGGCCTGCTTTTCTTCAGCAGGGACAGGGAAGATGGCTAAAATTGATGGGAAGATGGATGGAGCCAAATACAGGACCATTCTGGAAGAAAACCTGTTGGAGTCTGCAAAAGACCTGAGACTGGGACGGAGATTTATCTTCCAACAGGACAATGATCCAAAACATAAAGCCAAATCTACAATGGAATGGTTCACAAATAGACGTATCCAGGTGTTAGAATGGCCAAGTCAAAGTCCAGACCTGAATCCAATCGAGAATCTGTGGAAAGAGCTGAAGACTGCTGTTCACAAACGCTCTCCATCCAACCTCACTGAGCTCGAGCTGTTTTGCAAGGAAGAATGGGAAAGAATTCCAGTCTCTCGATGTGCAAAACTGATAGAGACATACCCCAAGCAACTTGCAGCTGTAATTGCAGCAAAAGGTGGCGCTACAAAGTATTAGCGCAAGGGGGCCGAATAATATTGCACGCCCCACTTTTCAGTTTTTTATTTGTTAAAAAAGTTTAAATTATTCAATACATTTTGTTCCACTTCACGATTGTGTCCCACTTGTTGTTGATTCTTGATAAAAAAAAAATTTTTAATATCTTTATGTTTGAAGCTTGAAATGTGGCGAAAGGTTCAAGGGGGCCGAATACTTTTGCAAGGCACTGTATATGTATATATATGTTGGCTATATGTTAGATACATGTTATATATATATATATATATAACTTATGTTAGATATGCAACAGAACTCTAGTCCACAGTCTCCTGTATATCAGTCTTTGAGCCCAAACTACTTTTCCTTCGGTTCCTTCGAAGCACAAAACCGTCTGCTCCCAAGTGCCTCGTCCATACTCCTGCAGCCGCTCTGTGCTTCACAAGAAGTAATCACACACGGACCAATCACAGCGGAGCTTCTCTGCGGCGGCGGTCGCGTAGTAATAAAACAATAAAACGGCTGCAGTACATTCAAAATGCAGCAGCTCGAGTCCTGACTAGAACCAGGAAGTACGACCATATTAGTCCTGACTAGAACCAGGAAGTACGACTACATTAGTCCAGTTCTCAGGTCTCTGCACTGGCTTCCTGTGGCTCAGAGAATAGACTTTAAAACAGCTCTGCTTGTTACAAGTCTCTCCATGACCAGGGTACATCCGTGACATGCTAGTCCCGTATGAACCCGCTCGGACTCTGAGGAGCACAGGGACTGGCCTCCTGCTGGTGCCCAGAGTCAGGACGAAACATGGGGAGACAGCGTTTCAGACACAGGCCGCTACCCTAACCATGTTCAAAACTAGACTGAGAACATATCTCTTTAGCTGTGCATACAACTGACTGATTCTATTTCGTACTACTTATTACTTTTATTGGCTTTTTTTTTCTTTTAAACCCACTTTTTTAATGTGTTTTAAACCCCATACTTTTAAACTGCTTTCTCTTAATATTTAGATAATTGTATATTTATTGACTTTTGAATGCATTTTTGATCTGTGTTTTTTGATTTTTAGTGAAGCACTTTGAATTGCCTTGTACACAAATTGTGCTATACATGATTGATTGTAAATGTTGGAGGGTGTGCGGTTACATAAGGGTCTGCGGTGATCCACGCTTTGTGCAAGTGACGTCACGTCACCACCGTAAGCTCCGCACGACCATACACTAGGCTTGATCTATTATACACTATATTTGAGCTATTTTTAGTACAGGCCAGCGGGCGACTCATCTGGTCCTTACGGGCGTCCTGGTGCCCACGGGCAGCGCGTTGGTGACCCCTGCTGTACACACACACACACACTGACATATACTGTACATGCACACGCACACACACACACACACACATCCGCATATACTGTACACACCATAGACTGTATATATTAACGGACAGAGTCACGCCTATCTCCGCCGTTCTAACTAATGGGCCAAAAAATGTGCTCTACTAGAGCTATCCAAAATGGCCGCGAGTGGTCCCGCCCACAAGAAAATTGTGAAAAAACGCATCTGCGCATGCGTTAGCCGGAGCAACTCCATTCATTTGAACAAGAGACTTCAAAAATTCACAGCGACTAAACTAGACTGGTCCAGAACACTCCCCTCAGCATTGACACACATGTGGAACGGAGCTTTGGAACAAGAGCCAACTTTTGGTCCATCCTTTAAAGACGTTTTTGAGAGGTCTGTATAGCATTGGCTAATTTTTCTTCTGGGTCCACCCCCATCGGCCCAGGGTGGTATTGCAGCATGTCAGCGCACGTCATTTTGGCCACTTTTGCGCTGGGACCTGCCCCCACTGGTACATACACGCGCGCACACACACACATCCTTTTCTGTCATATAGAGGCCAAAAAAACCTGTGAAACCAGAGATTTGAGTACTCTGTAGTATAGAAGTTGTGTAGCCCAGCTTTAAGGTGGTATAGAAGTTGTGTAGCTCAGTTTTAAGGCGGTATAGAAGTTGTGTAGCTCAGTTTTAAGGCGATATAGAAGTTGTGTAGCCCAGCTTTAAGGTGGTACAGAAGTTGTGTAGCCCAGCTTTAAGGTGGTATAGAAGTTGTGTAGCTCAGTTTTAAGGCGGTATAGAAGTTGTGTAGCTCAGTTTTAAGGCGGTATAGAAGTTGTGTAGCCCAGCTTTAAGGTGGTATAGAAGTTGTGTAGCCCAGCTTTAAGGCGGTATAGAAGTTGTGTAGCCCGTGAGTTCGATTTTCTGATATGGTTCATATTTCTCTCTCAGTTCAGTTTCATCAAAGTCCTGAGTTTGACCTGAAAGTGTCAATGTTTGGAGGCGGACGCGGCGGCAAGGATGGATGCCGCTCACTCCTCCCTCCCCCTCTCTCCCCCCTCCTCCCCCTGCGGCTCCCCCTCTGGTTCATTACTGAATTACCGTCCCTTTGGCCTCTCTCCTCTCTGAGCATTAGCCTCTTTGTGTCACATTAAAACCCCATTTAAGGGGAACCACAGACCCTGCAGTGACTGGGACTAATGCCTCTGGTCTGAAGTGTGCGCATGTGTGTGTGTGTGCGTGTGGTGTGCGTGTGGTGTGCGTGTGTGTGCGCGTGTGTGCGCGTGCGTGCGTCAATGTCAACTTTTTTTGTATAGCACATTTACAATAAAAGAAAAAAAACTGAAAATAGCATTTAATCCACTCACATGTAAACACGGTAAAACTCAAATATGACTTTAGACCAGAGAGAGACCAGAGAGAGAGAGAGACCAGAGAGACCAGAGAGAGACCAGAGAGAGAGAGACCAGAGAGAGAGAGAGAGACCAGAGAGAGAGAGAGAGACCAGAGAGAGAGAGAGAGAGACCAGAGAGAGAGACCAGAGAGAGAGACCAGAGAGAGAGACCAGAGAGAGAGAGAGACCAGAGAGACCAGAGAGAGAGAGAGAGACCAGAGAGACCAGAGAGAGAGAGAGAGAGAGAGAGAGACCAGAGAGAGAGAGAGAGAGAGACCAGAGAGAGAGACCAGAGAGAGAGACCAGAGAGAGAGAGAGACCAGAGAGAGAGAGAGACCAGAGAGAGAGAGAGAGACCAGAGAGAGAGAGAGAGAGAGAGAGACCAGAGAGAGAGACCAGAGAGAGAGACCAGAGAGAGAGACCAGAGAGAGACCAGAGAGAGAGAGAGACCAGAGAGAGAGAGATAGACCAGAGAGAGAGACCAGAGAGAGAGAGAGAGAGAGACCAGAGAGAGAGAGAGAGAGAGAGACCAGAGAGAGAGAGACCAGAGAGAGAGACCAGAGAGAGAGAGAGACCAGAAAGACCAGAGAGAGACCAAAGAAAGAGAGAGAAAGACCAGAGAGAGAGAGAGAGAGACAGAGAGAGAGACCAGAGAGAGAGACCAGAGAGAGAGACCAGAGAGAGAGACCAGAGAGAGAGACCAGAGAGAGAGACCAGAGAGAGAGAGAGAGAGAGAGAGACCAGAGAGAGAGACCAGAGAGAGAGAGAGAGAGAGAGAGACCAGAGAGAGAGAGAGACCAGAGAGAGAGACCAGAGAGAGAGACCAGAGAGAGAACCAGAGAGAGACCAGAGAGAGAGACCAGTGGTATAGAAGTTGACCAGAGAGACCAGCGAGAGAGACCAACGAGAGAGACCAGCGAGAGACCAGCGAGAGACCAGCGAGAGACCAGCGAGAGACCAGCGAGAGACTAGCGAGAGACTAGCGAGAGACTAGCGAGAGACCAGAGAGAGACCACTATAGAGAGACATACAGGTTCTCTTGGTTCTCTCTCTGGTCTTTACCCAGACCTCACGTCTGCATGTTCTCCCTGTGCAGTGTACCCAGACCTCTGCTCGCTCAGTCTGGCCGCGGTGTCGGACCCTCGGCTTCATCAGGAGCACGTCTTGTTCTGGGACGATGTCTACGGCTTCGACATGTCGGTGATGAGGAGAACAAGCATCATGGAGGCCGGAGTGGAGGTGGTACCAGCCGAGGCCGTGGTGTCCCGGGCCGCGGTGATCCAGGTGAGAACAAGGGGCAGATGTGTTGCTAGGACGGTCGCTAAGGAAAGCTAGAGTTTCCACCACGAATAATAGAGGCGTCTAATTGGTCAGAGAAAATCTCTCTTTTTTTAACAACAAGAGAAAAGTATAGCACATCGTCGGAAGCTGAGGACGGGATGTGGCTGAGATGATCATGAGAGAGACCAGAGAGAGAGAGAGAGAGAGACCAGTGAGAAGAGACAAGAGAGAGACCAGAGAGAGAGACCAGAGAGAGAGACCAGAGAGAAGAGACAAGTGAGAGAGACCAGGGAGAGAGACCAGAGAGAAGAGACAAGTGAGAGAGACCAGGGAGAGAGACCAGAGAGAGAGACCAGAGCGAGAGACCAGAGCGAGAGACCAGAGAGAGAGACCAGAGAGAGAGACCAGAGAGAGAGACCAGAGAGAGAGACCAGAGAGAGAGACCAGAGAGAGAGACCAGAGAGAGAGACCAGAGAGAAGAGACCAGCGAGAAGAGACCAGAGAGAAGAGACCAGAGTAGGAGGAGAGACCAGAGTGGGAGAGAGACCAGAGTGGGAGAGAGACCAGAGTGGGAGAGAGACCAGAGTGGGAGAGAGACCAGAGTGGGAGAGAGTCCAGAGTGGGAGAGAGTCCAGAGTGGGAGAGAATCCAGAGTGGGAGAGAATCCAGAGTGGGAGAGAGTCCAGAGTGGGAGAGAGACCATCATTTCTTATCCACATAGAGCAAGAGAGAATCATTTTTGACAACTTCATGAAGGATTGAGCAGACACAAACACAGCTCCACGGCTCGTTACGGTCTCGTTCTGCAGAGTATTATTTAGTGTTACGGCCACATGTGAGCAGACGTTTACGGTCTCCTCTCGTTCCTAAACTCTCTGAGTGTTGTGGCCGATGCGTTGGCGCTGCGAGGGTTAATGCGCCGTGATTGGCTCAGAGCAGCGCGGCGAGAGCAGCGTCCTGGAGAGAAACTATTGATTACAGCGATCACATTCTATTACAGCGCCGCACGCCTCATCCATCAGAGCACAGACGGCCCGCAACACCAGCAGCTCCTGCGGAAACACCACCACTGTGTGCTCTGCATACTCTGGTCTCTCTCTGTGGTCTCTCTCTCTCTGGTCTCTCTCTGGTCTCTCTCTGGTCTCTCTCTGTGGTCTCTCTCTGGTCTCTCTCTGTAGTCTCTCTCTGGTCTCTATCTTTGGTCACTCTCTGGTCCCTCTCTGTGGTCTTTCTCTGGTCTGTCTCTGGTCTCTCTCTGTCGTCTCTCTCTGTGGTTTCTGTGTGGTCTCTCTTTCTGGTCACTCTCTGGTCTCTCTCCCTGGTCTCTCTGTGGTCTCTCTCTCTGGTCTCTCTGTGTGGTCTCTCTCTCTCTGGTCTCTCTCTGGTCTCTCTCTGGTCTCTCTCTCTGGTCTCTCTCTGGTCTCTCTCTGTGGTCTCTCTCTCTGGTCTCCTTCTGTGGTCTCTCTCTCTGGTCTCTCTCTGGTCTCTCTCTGTGGTCTCTCTCTCTGGTCTCTCTCTGTGGTCTCTCTCTCTGGTCTCTCTCTGGTCTCTCTCTGGTCTCTCTCTCTGGTCTCTCTCTCTGGTCTCTCTTTCTGGTCTCTCTCTGTGGTCTCTCTCTCTGGTCTCTCTCTCTGGTCTCTCTCTCTGGTCTCTCTCTGGTCTCTCTCTGTGGTCTCTCTCTGTGGTCTCTCTGTCATGTCTCTCTCTCTGGTCTCTCTCTGTGGTCTCTCTCTCTGTGGTCTCTCTGTCTGGTCTGTCTCTGGTCTCTCTCTGGTCTCTCTCTGTGGTCTCTCTCTGTGGTCTCTCTCTCATGTCTCTCTCTCTGGTCTCTCTCTGTGGTCTCTCTCTCTGGTCTCTCTCTCTGTGGTCTCTCTGTCTGGTCTGTCTCTGGTCTCTCTCTGGTCTCTCTCTGTGGTCTCTCTCTGTGGTCTCTCTCTCATGTCTCTCTCTCTGGTCTCTCTCTGTGGTCTCTCTCTCTGGTCTCTCTCTGGTCTCTCTCTCTGGTCTCTCTCTGGTCCTGACTACTCTTTTATTTCACCCATATATGTTCCTGTCTTCGACTTGGTGAAAGGCTGACTTTGGTCTAAACAACATGCCAACCTTTCCCACTGTCCCGTGTCAAACCCAAGCAGAGAGAGACCTCATAATGAACAGTTTTTGAGGTTCTTCTTCCTGTGAATAAAGGTCAAACTTGTTTCTTCTGTTGCAGACGTTTGACTGTAACTCTGTGTCGCTGTCGCAGCTGGAGTTTGAGGCAGACTTCACTTTGGAGATCACAGAGAGCGCCCCCTGCACGGTGAGCGCCACACTGCACCATTCACTGGCTCCTCCCCCTGGCCCCTCCCCCTGGCTTCTCTCCCTGTACCCTGGCTCCTCCCTCTTTGACCCTTGGCTCCTCCCCCTTTATCCTGGCCCCTCACTCTTTGACCCATGGCTCCTCCGACTGGCCCCTCCCATTGTGCCCTGGCCCCTGCCCCTTTGACCCTTGGCTCCTCCCCCTTTGACGCTTGGCTCCTCCCTTGTCCACTATTTTCTTGGGAATCTTTTGAGTTGCCAACAAATGTTACATATTTTACTTTTGATTAATTAAAAAGACAGAAATTCAGATGTGAATAAATATTCCGTGTTGTGTGAGCAGCGGCTCTACTGCAGGTGTCGTGTGTTTCACGGAGTTTGACTGAAGTCTGCGTCGCTGCGTCTCAAGAGGGAAACACTCGTGTTTGTTCTTTTTCAGAGGATTCTCAAAGTTGTGGTTTTTTGAGTGATTTTTCAGCCCTGATCTAAAGAGAAGACACAGAGTCATGTATTCTCTGTGTTCGAGCATCGACCGCGTCGGAAACGCGCTGTGACTGATGGCGTGATGCGCCGTGAGTGATGGCGCGGCGCTCGTTGTGATTGTGGCGTGCGGCCGTGGAGCCGCCTCTCGCTAACGGCGGCGACGGACGTCATTTGTTCTGGAAGAAAAAAGCAGATACAGAGCGGGACGTTTCCAATTACATCCGAGCAGACGGCGGAGAAAAATGAGGCGTTTTACAAATCCTATTAAAAACACTTGACAGGGGGGAGGAGGAGGGGGGAGGAGGGGGGAGGAGGGGGGAGGAGGGGGAGGAAGGGGAATCAGAGATCGATCCTTCATTACCCCGAGAGACCGACCAGAACTGTGTGGACCGAGTTTAGATCCGGCTTCTGTTTGGGGTGAGTGGAAAAATATAAGGACTTATACAGCTGGTCTGAGCCAGGTCTGAACCAGGTCTGAACCAGGTCCGAACCAGGTCTGAACCAGGTCTGTCCCAGGTCCAATCCAGGTCCACATAACTCACCATACAACTTAGGTAATTAACGTAACTTTAAAGCTGGGGAACGTAACTTTCAGCTCACACCAGTACAACAATATAATCCATGTATTTTTAGCTCCTTTCACATCTTTAGATCAGCTCTCAGCCAATCAGCTCTCAGCCCAAAGTGTCCAATGGTGACTCACAGGGATCTGATTTACTGCACATATTTCTAACACAGGCCGCTAAGAGGAGTAACCATGGCAACAGGCTCCTATCTCTGCGCTGCCGAACCGAACGTTTTATGATTACCTCTGTCCCTTTGACCAAAGACCTGAAACCTGTCCCTGTGTTTCTCTCGTTGGTGACTTTCAGAAAGATGGATGTGTTTCTCACTGTTCTCTCTACTACACTGTGGCCATACATGCAAAAGCCAGATCCCATCAGACCCCTGAAGCTAAGCAGGGCAGGGCCTGGTTAGTTCAGCGATGGGAGACCTCTGGGAACACCAGGTGCCACAGTAAGGGGGCTTTAAAGGGCAGCACGGTGGCTCCTCGCAGCTTCTCAGCAAGGAGGTCCTGGGTTCAAATCCCAGTCAGAACAGGGCCTTTTCTGAGTGGAGTTTGTATGTTTCCTTTGGGTGCTCCGGTTTCCCCAATAATTAAAAACATCTCCATCTCTGTGGAGTGAGAGGCTTTGTGGCTGTGGTGTGTGGTTGGTGGTGGGAGGGGCCGATGGCACAGACTGGCTGCCTCGCTTGTGTTAGTGTGCCCCAGGGCAGCTGTGCCCCCAGTGTTTGGACTGAATTAATAATGAGGTGAAGCGACTTTTACTGTCCTGCAAAGCGCTGCAGAAAACCCTCCATTCTCTTCCCCTTAATCCATTTCTGGGTCGAAGGTGGCAGTCAGAGCTGCCCCCAGTGCACAGAGCACCAGCCCCTGCTCCTCACTGATGCTCCTGCTCCTCCTGATCCTCCTGCTCCTCCTGGTCCTCCTGCTCCTCCTGGTCCTCACTGATCCTCCTGCTCCTCACTGATGCTCCTGCTCCTCCTGATCCTCACTGATCCTCCTGCTCCTCCTGGTCCTCACTGGTCCTCCTGCTCCTCACTGCTCCTCCTGATCCTCACTGATCCTCCTGCTCCTCCTGGTCCTCACTGCTCCTCCTGCTCCTCACTGCTCCTCCTGATCCTCACTGCTTCTCCTGATCCTCACTGCTCCTCCTGCCCCTCCTGCTTCTCCTGATCCTCACTGCTCCTCCTGCAGGAGGTGAGTCCACAGGAGGCTGCTCTGATCTGAGCTGCCTTGATCTTTCAGCAGGGGTTTCAGGCAAAGTGGAGTTAAGTGTCTTGCACAAGGACACAACGACAGCAGACATCAGTGGGAGTCATGAAGTAGGTCTCTTGGTGGGATTGAACCCACAACCTTCAGGCCCGAAGGCCACTGCTCCTGCTGTGATCACCATCAGGACAGTCTGGTTTTCCTGTCACTTCATCTTCATAATAAGCTCTTGAGGACCCTGGCCCCGCCCCCTGGCCCCGCCCCCCGCTCTTATCGGCGTGCACATGTGCGGCGCTGACACCGTGATGAACGACCTCATGTCCCATCATCGTCATCACGGGCGCCAGACTCTAATTGAAAAACATGCACAAAACATTACGACGAGAGAGTCCTGAAAATGTGAGACCGGATTCTGCTGCGGGGGATTCAAACCCAAAAGGTTTATAGGAGGGTTTTTACTTCTGGGTGGATCATCAAGATGATTGGTCCTCCCAACTGTCAATCATTCTGGTGACACGTGCCCAAATCAAAAAGTGGAGAGGGCGGTTCTTTCCTAAAATTTGGTAAAATCCTCCAATAAATCTTTAAGATAGAGGTGTGTGTGTGTGTGTCTGTGTGTGTGTGCGTCTCTGTCTTTGTGTCTGTGTGTGTGTGCGTCTCTGTGTGCGTGTGTGTGCGTCTCTCTGTGTTGTTTGGAGTTGGAACCCTTTCTGGTGGAGTGTCTGCTTTGTGCGCGTTGAGCCGTGCACGTTCATTTTGCATGTCTATACTGTGTGTGTGTGTCTCTGTATGTGTGTGTGTCTCTGTATGTGTGTGTGTCTCTGTATGTGTGTGTGTATGTTGGGGGCGTGGCTCCGCTCAGCTGTATCTGATGGACTCTCTCTGCTTTTGTGCTTTTGTCGTTGCGATCCGCAGTCCATTCATCAGACTCGCTCTAGTCGCCTCCCTCCCTCCCCTCCACCCCTCACCCCCAAACCCTCCTCACCCCCTCCACCCCTCCACATGTTTGGACATAGACTGGTCCACTTCAACACTGTATTTATTTGTATCGCATATTTTTGAGGGACTGTATCCGAAAAAGAAACTCTGACCTGTAGGTTTTTAGTTTACTCTGCTTTAGCAATGTGCTCAGATTTACAAGGAGCAACACAGAGAGAGAGGGCCTAGAGAGAGAGAGACCAGAGAGAGAGAGTCCACAGAGGGAGAGCCCAGAGAGAGAGAGCCCAGAGAGAGTCCAGAGAGAGAGCCCAAAGAGACAGAGAGAGAGCCCAGAGAGAGAGAGACCAGAGAGAGAGCCCAGAGAGAGAGAGCCCAGAGAGAGAGACCAGAGAGAGAGCCCAGAGAGAGAGAGCCCAGAGAGAGAGAGCCCAGAGAGAGAGAGCCCAGAGAGAGAGCCCAGAGACAGAGCCCAGAGACAGAGCCCAGAGAGAGAGCCCAGAGAGAGAGCCCAGAGAGAGAGAGCCCAGAGAGAGAGCCCAGAGAGAGAGAGCCCAGAGAGAGAGAGCCCAGAGAGAGAGAGCCCAGAGAGAGAGAGCCCAGAGAGAGAGAGCCCAGAGAGAGAGACCAGAGCGAGAGCCCAGAGAGAGAGCCCAGAGAGAGAGAGCCCAGAGCCCAGAGAGAGAGAGCCCAGAGAGAGAGAGCCCAGAGAGAGAGAGCCCAGAGAGAGAGCCCAGAGCGAGAGACCAGAGCGAGAGACCAGAGCGAGAGACCAGAGCGAGAGACCAGAGCGAGAGTCCAGAGCGAGAGTCCAGAGCGAGAGTCCAGAGCGAGAGTCCAGAGCGAGAGTCCAGAGCGAGAGTCCAGAGCGAGAGTCCAGAGCGAGAGTCCAGAGCGAGAGTCCAGAGCGAGAGTCCAGAGAGTCCAGAGCGAGAGTCCAGAGCGAGAGTCCAGAGCGAGAGTCCAGAGCGAGAGTCCAGAGCGAGAGTCCAGAGCGAGAGTCCAGAGCGAGAGTCCAGAGCGAGAGTCCAGAGCGAGAGTCCAGAGCGAGAGTCCAGAGCGAGAGTCCAGAGCGAGAGTCCAGAGCGAGAGTCCAGAGCGGAGTCAGAGCGAGAGTCCAGAGCGAGAGTCCAGAGCGAGAGTCCAGAGCGAGAGTCCAGAGCGAGAGTCCAGAGCGAGAGTCCAGAGCGAGAGTCCAGAGCGAGAGTCCAGAGCGAGAGTCCAGAGCGAGAGACCAGAGCGAGAGTCCAGAGCGAGAGTCCAGAGCGAGAGTCCAGAGCGAGAGTCCAGAGCGAGAGACCAGAGCGGAAAAGAATGAAAGGTGTTGGGACCAGTATCTTTAACTTTCCTGGTTGTTTTAACTTGTTCTAACGAGTTTTAAACTGGTCTGAAGCTGAAGCTGCAGTTTCACAGATGTTCAGGATAAAAGAAGACGACTGTAAAACCAGGGCTGGAAATACACAGACCAGATGGGACTGACTCAGGACTTTTAAGGTCTCAAACAAGTCCTGCTTTAGTTCCTGTCGCGGTCCATCTCTAGCTCAGTCTCGGGTCAGTCCTGCCTCAGTCCTGCCTCAGTCCTGGCTCAGTCCTGGCTCAGCCCTGGCTCAGCCCTGGCTCAGCCCTGGCTCAGTCCTGGCTCAGTCCTGGCTCAGTCCTGGCTCAGTCCTGGCTCAGTCCTGGCTCAGTCCTGGCTCAGTCCGGCCTCAGTCCTGGCTCAGACCGGCCTCAGTCCTGCCTCAGACCTGGCTCAGTCCTATCTCAGTCCTGGCTCAGTCCTATCTCAGTCCTGGCTCAGTCCTATCTCAGTCCTATCTCAGTCCTGGCTCAGTCCGACCTCAGTCCTATCTCAGTCCTGGCTCAGTCCTGGCTCAGACCGGCCTCAGTCCTGGCTCAGCCCTGGCTCATTCCTGGCTCAGTCCTGGCTCAGTCCTGGCTCAGACCAGGCTCAGACCGACCTCAGTCCTATCTCAGTCCTGGCTCAGTCCTATCTCAGTCCTGGCTCAGTCCGACCTCAGTCCTATCTCAGTCCTGGCTCAGTCCTGGCTCAGACCGGCCTCAGTCCTGGCTCAGCCCTGGCTCATTCCTGGCTCAGTCCTGGCTCAGACCAGGCTCAGACCGGCCTCAGTCCGACCTCAGTCCTATCTCAGTCCTGGCTCAGTCCTGGCTCAGACCGGCCTCAGTCCTGGCTCAGCCCTGGCTCATTCCTGGCTCAGTCCTGGCTCAGACCAGGCTCAGACCGGCCTCAGTCCTGGCTCAGCCCTGGCTCAGACCTCTCTCTTCTGGTCATCAGCTGCAGTAGATTAAAAGCTATTAGTTCTGCATCGTTGCCACTACAAGTGCGACGTGAGATTGATAGAACCCCCCCCCCCACACACACGTGAGATTGATAGAACCCCCCCCCCCCCCCCCCACACACACACACACACACGCACACTGACCGACACACACACACGCACACACACACACACTGACACACACACAGCCTCAGGGGAAGTCTTCAACAGAGCTGCCAGAAACAAACATAAAGAGGAAATGAAACACTGTAAGAAAGCTGCTGATCAGAGCTCTGACTGCAGACGCTGCTCCCTCTTCACCACAAGAGTTCCATACAGCGACCGCATCAATCACGGTCTGTCTCATGCTTCATCCGCCCATCGCTAAGAACAAGACCGGAGACTCAAACTACCTCTGGTCTCTCTTCTCTGGTCCAGAATGTTATATACACACATACAGTACACACACATAAACATACTATAGAAGGATGGATGGATGGATGGATGGATGGATGGATGGGTGGGTGGAGCGAGACAGGTCACGAGTAGCCTCTGGGTAGAGCGGGACGGGTCACAGCAGCAGAGGTGGAGTAGCCTCTGGGTGGAGCAGGACGGGTCACAGCAGCAGAGGTGGAGTAGCCTCTGGGTGGAGCAGGACACAATATATACACACACATATAATATATATATTTTCAAACAGGCAAACTCTCTTCTGTCTCTCTTTTCTCTCTCACTCTCTTCTCTCTCTCCTCTATCTCTCTCTTCTCTCCCTCTGGTCTCTCTCTCTCTCTGGTCTCTCTCTCTCCCTCTGGTCTCTCTCCTCTCCCTCTCCTCTCTCTCTCTCTGGTCTCTCTCCTCTCTCTCTCTCTCTCTGGTCTCTCTCTCTCTCTCTCTCTGGTCTCTCTCTCTCTCTGGTCTCTCTCTCTCTCCCTCTGGTCTCTCTCCTCTCCCTCTCCTCTCTCTCTCTCTGGTCTCTCTCCTCTCTCTCTCTCTCTCTGGTCTCTCTCTCTCTCCCTCTGGTCTCTCTCCTCTCCCTCTCCTCTCTCTCTCTCTGGTCTCTCTCCTCTCTCTCTCTCTCTCTGGTCTCTCTCTCTCTCGCTCTCTCTGGTCTCTCTCTCTCTCTTTTGTCCCGCCATGTTCAGGGTAAAGTGGCTGTTGGCGTCTCGTCTCAGAAAAGCTAACGGGGCCAATTTCTCGCCTCGGTTTGTTTGCTTTTGTCAGCGAATCGACGCTAACTCATAATTTATGTCTTTTGTGGCGATGACAAGGGCCCCGCGGTGACGGGCCCCTGGGAGCCGCTGTGAAGCCAATCTGTGGAGAAATGGACCCAATTCATTTGGATCTGAGGCGTTTAACACGGAAGCTTCAATCTGAGGCTCAAGGGCCAAACGAGGCCCATAACACATGTGACCCGGTCCCTCACTTCCTCTGGTCTCTCTTCTGTCTCTCTCTGGTCTCTCTCTGGTCTCTCTCTGGTCTCTCTCTGATCTCCCTCTGGTCTCTCTCTGGTCTCTCTCTGGTCTCTCTCTGGTCTCTCTCTGGTCTCTCTCTGGTCTCTCTCTTCTGTATCTTTGGTCTCTCACTCTGGTCTCACTCTGGTCTCTCTTCTGTCTCTCTCTGGTCTCTCTCCTCTGTCTCTCTCTGGTCTCTCTCCTCTGTCTCTCTCTGGTCTCTCTCTGGTCTCTCTTCTGTCTCTCTCTGGTCTCTCTCTGGTCTCTCTTCTGTCTCTCTCTGGTCTCTCTCCTCTGTCTCTCTCTGGTCTCTCTCCTCTGTCTCTCTCTGGTCTCTCTCTGGTCTCCCTCTGATCTCCCTCTGGTCTCTCTCTGGTCTCTCTCTGGTCTCTCTCTGGTCTCTCTCTTCTGTCTCTCTCTGGTCTCTCTCTTCTGTCTCCCTCTGGTCTCCCTCTGGTCTCTCTCTGGTCTCTCTCTGGTCTCTCTCTGGTCTCTCTCTGGTCTCCCTCTGGTCTCTCTCTGGTCCCTCACTCATACTGCACATCCAGAGAATTTACAGCAGATTCAACCTTAGGCTCAAGGGTCAAACGAGATTTCTTCTCGTTTTTCCCGATGACACTTTCTTCTCGTCAGTGAAAACCATGTCAGAATAATGTTTGAATTATTCTTTTCATCTGTTGGATGTTGAATCAGGCCTGAGATAAAGACCCCACTGGGGCTGTACCAACCGACCCACAACAAACCAGTATCCACTGAAACTCCGTGGTAACCATGGCTTCCAGCAACACTCTGGCCAATCACTGTCAGTTAGAACACTTCAGTACCAGCTTGGCCTGGATAGAACCAGGACCAAGAGGGACTAAAGAAGGACCGGGCTGAGCAGAACAGGGACTCAGTTTTAATGTTGTTTCCGTTTGTGTTGCAGGCTCTTGTCGGTTTCTTTGACGTCCTGTTCCAGCGAAACTGTGAGAAACAGGTAACGACAACATCACATTATGTGTTATTTACGTGCTGTGATCAGCACCACACACACACACCCACACAGACACACACACACACAGACACACACACACACACACACGCACCCAAAACACACATACACACACACACGTCACTCACACACACATCAGTTGGTTCCATCTTGTATGAACACAGACAGAACACACTCATGGTTCTGTTACCACACTCATGGTTCTGTTACCACACTCATGGTTCTGATACCACACTCATGGTACTGTTCCACACTCATGGTTCTGTTACACACATGTCAGAGTTGTTGTGACACATAAATAAACCTGCCTCTGTCTCGTCAGCTGAGCTTCTCCACGGGTCCACACGCCTCCAAGACTCACTGGAAACAGACGCTGTTCCTGCTGGAGACGCCCCTCCCTCTGACTAAAGGTAAGCCCCTCCCCCTAAGTGTAGGACCCGCCCCCTGAGTGTAGGACCCTCCCCCTGACTGCAGGCCCCGCCCCCGACTGCAGGTGCGACACAAAGGCGTCTCTACGTCTGAATTTACAGTCCATCTCCTCCGTCACTTTTACCTCCTGTCTTTATAAATGTTGGACCGTCCTGTAAAGACGTTTTCCAGACAAAAGAAGACGTCATTAGAATTCAATGGATATTTCTGTTTCCGGGTACACCCCCACCGGGAGGAGTGAGTTTGCAGCATGTCAGCGCAGATGCTCAGGGACCTCCTGAGCTGGGACCCGCCCACACTGGACACACACCATACATTAGAACATTACCAGTTTATTAAATGGGTCCATAGTTTTGAAAGGCCTTAGCCCCGCCCACTGATATGGTAACACCATGGTGACACAGTGCACATGGTGCCTGTGAGTGTGTGTGTGGCTGTGCACGTGTGTGTGTGAGTGTCCCGTGGCGGCTGTGACCTCTCGGTGTTTCCCGGTGGGTCCTCGTGGCCCAGAGCTGCAGCAGATGTTTTGTTAGAACAAGGTCAAAAACAGAACTCATCTCATGGAACTCTCTCAGAGGCTGCTGTCGGGACAACTCTCCCCCACTCTCTCCCCCACACTCTCCCTTTCTCCCCCACACTCTCTCCCTCTTTCCCACACTCTCTTCCCCACTCTCTCTCCCACACTCTCTCCCACACTCTCTCCAACTCTCCCCCACTCTCTCTCACTCTCTCCCCCACACTCTCTCCTACTCTCTCCCCCACTCTCTCCCCAAGACTCTCCCTTTCTCCCCCACACTCTCTCCCTCTTTCCCACACTCTCTTCGCCACTCTCTCTCCCACACTCTCTCCCACACTCTCTCCAACTCTCCCCCACTCTCTCTCACTCTCTCCCCCACACTCTCTCCCACTCTCTCCCCCACTCTCTCCCTAAGACTCTCCCTTTCTCCCCCACACTCTCTCCCTCTTTTCCACACTCTCTTCCCCACTCTCTCTCCCACACTCTCTCCCACACTCTCTCCAACTCTCCCCCACTCTCTCTCACTCTCTCCTCCACACTCTCTCTCACTCTCTCCCCCACACTCTCTCCCTTTCTCCCCCACACTCTCTCCCTCTCTCCCCCACTCTCTCCCCCACTCTCTCCCCCACACTCTCCCCCACTCTCTCCCCCACTCTCTCCCCCACACTCTCCCCCACTCTCTCCCCCACTCTCTCCCCCACACTCTCCCCCACACTCTCCCCCACACTCTCCCCCACACTCTCCCCCACACACTCCCACATGACTCACCTTATAGAAACACGTTATAAAATGTACTGTTAATGCCACTGAGTGTTTATTAGGAGTGGACTGACCGAGTGTGACATCACCAGAGCGTTCGCCTTCATGCAAAAGAAGCCGATTTGAACATGAGCAGGAGCCAATGTTAGCTTTGCACCGTTGGAGGGGCAGACGTGTTGCTAAGACGGTTGCTAAGGAAAGCTGGAGTGAATGAAGGCCTCTGATTGGCCGGCCCTTACATGGCTCATATCTGGATTTACAAAGACCGTATCACGTCTAAACACCTGGATCACAGAGAGCGATAAACCATGGATTTTTTGACCCAAACCATGAAGACTTCTCTATTGGGCTTCGGTGAGCTAGCGGATTAGCATCGTCCATCTGTACACAGGCTATGATCCGTGTTAGCATGCAGCGTCAGCGGAGCCTGTCGTTGTTTATCTCAGCGCGTCGTCCGCAGTGCGCTGATAAGAAGATGATTGGGCCATTTATTAAACTGGACTTTATCTGATACGCACACGCACACGCACACGCACACACACACACGCACACGCACAAGCACGCACACGCACACGCACACACTGTAGTTTCACTGTTACAAAGTGGGTCGTCTGCATTTCTTAGCCTTGTCTTTGACCTTATTCTTGGACAGTGTTGTACTTTAAAGCTGAGGTATGTAACTTTCAGACCACAACAACAAACATTTATTATAAAACCCATAACTTTAGTTCTTGGCTCTGCTTCTGCCTCTAGTTTCATGTGTGTCTGTCTCCGTCACATCTTCAGCTTTACTCAGACAGAAAAGTGAAAAGGAGGGGACCACACTCTCTCGACCAATCAGCTCTCAGCTCAAAGAGTGTGTGTCTGTGTGTGTGTGTGTGTGTGCTGGTTAAACTGCAGACACACACTCCTCTCTTCTTCAAAGTCACCTCTAACTCTTCAGATTGATGTGGATCCTTCACCGTGGCCTCGGACTTTTGGGCCTGACGCAGGATCTGAGCCGAGTTTACAGCGAATTATCACAAAGAAAAGATCAAAGAGAAACCACGGATTTAGCCCAAAGTGATGTCACACAAACAGTTACTGAGTTAGAGGAGTTTACTTTGACATGTGCCAGAGAGAGGAGCCAAACTTCACCACGAGCACTTCCCTATTGGACTTCATTGAGATAGCGGGTTAGCATTGAATTAGCACTGTCCACCTGAGTATAGACCCTCCTGCTGTGAGGGCTGTTGTAGACCACAGGACCCTCCTGCTGTGAGGGCTGTTGTAGACCACAGGACCCTCCTGCTGTGAGGGCTGTTGTAGACCACAGGACCCTCCTGCTGTGAGGGCTGTTGTAGACCACAGGACCCTCCTGCTGTGAGGGTTGTTGTAGACCACAGGACCCTCCTGCTGTGAGGGCTGTTGTAGACCACAGGACCCTCCTGCTGTGAGGGCTGTTGTAGAGCACAGGACCCTCCTGCTGTGAGGGCTGTTGTAGAGCACAGGACCCTCCTGCTGTGAGGGCTGTTGTAGAGCACAGGACCCTCCTGCTGTGAGGGCTGTTGTAGAGCACAGGACCCTCCTGCTGTGAGGGCTGTTGTAGAGCACAGGACCCTCCTGCTGTGAGGGCTGTTGTAGAGCACAGGACCCTCCTGCTGTGAGGGCTGTTGTAGAGCACAGGACCCTCCTGCTGTGAGGGCTGTTGTAGACCACAGGACCCTCCTGCTGTGAGGGCTGTTGTAGAGCACAGGACCCTCCTGCTGTGAGGGCTGTTGTAGAGCACAGGACCCTCCTGCTGTGAGGGCTGTTGTAGAGCACAGGACCCTCCTGCTGTGAGGGCTGTTGTAGAGCACAGGACCCTCCTGCTGTGAGGGCTGTTGTAGACCACAGGACCCTCCTGCTGTAGACCACAGGACCCTCCTGCTGTGAGTGTGCACTCCTGCCTCACAGCAGCTGCAGTCCGCCTCCTCCTAAAGCACAGGGAGAACAAACAGTGGAATAAACCTGGAGCCGGAGACATCCATCTTTAGTGCGAGCGGCGTGACGGTTAGAGATAATTAACTCTGAGGTGTGTTTGTTTGTGTGTGTGTGTGTGTGTGTGTATGTGCGTGTGTGTCTTTGTGTGTGTGTACGTGTGTGTGTGTGTCTTTGTGTGTGTGTGCATGTGTGTGTGTCTGTTTGTGTGTGTGTTCGCTCAGAGGCCGCTGCAGGATTCGTCCTCAGAAACAGATTTAACTCTGACTAAAAAACTCAGGTCTTTTCTCCTGAGCTTTAAAGTTACGTACCGCAGCTTTAATAAATGATTTAAAGTTACGTACCGCAGCTTTAATAAATGATTTAAAGCTACGTACCGCAGCTTTAATAAATGATTTAAAGTTACGTACCGCAGCTTTAATAAATGATTTAAAACAGAGTAGATTTCCTCGATACTGAAGTATAGTGATAATAATGTGATTATAAAGACAGAAGCTTCCATTATTTTTTATGTCTTTGGTGAAAAACCCGCAGACTCCCGCGGTCTCCGGCGCCGCGTCCCGCTCCTGCGCTCAACTGTGCGTCAAATGAATTTGTGTCGCGGCGCGGGTCATAAACTCTTCTTCACCGTGTTTTATTTGTTCTTTTTGGATGAAAATCTGTGGCGTCACGTCTGCGCTCACCGTACTGTACTTTTCCACTGTGTCCGCAGTGGAGTGGGGCGTGTGCACGGGGGGCTGTGATTGGCCGGATCCCCTGGGCGCACACAGACGCACACACAGACGCACACACAGACGCACACACAGACGCACACACAGACGCACACACAGACGCACACACAGACGCACACACAGGCGCACACACACAGGCGCACACACACAGACGCACACACACAGGCGCACACACACAGCTGCACACTGGGACCTTGGCTTGTCACACTCTCCATCGCAGTTGAACTATAATTCTGTGAAAGAAGATTTAAGGCCAAAGAGGAAGAAGGAGAGTAGAGGGACAAAATGGCCGACGCCCACGAAGGCAGAGGAGAGGGTTTGGGATGAGACCAGAGGGAGACCGGAGGGAGACTCGGAGAGAGACCAGAGAGAGACCTGAGAGAGACTCAGAGAGGGAGCAGAGACCAGAGAGACAGAGACCGAGAGAGACCGAGAGAGACCGAGAGAGAGACCGAGAGAGAGACCCAGAGAGAGACCCAGAGAGAGACCCAGAGAGAGACCCAGAGAGAGACCCAGAGAGAGACCCAGAGAGAGACCCAGAGAGGGAGCAGAGACCAGAGAGAGAGAGACCGAGAGAGAGACCCAGAGAGAGACCCAGAGAGAGACCCAGAGAGAGAGACCCAGAGAGAGAGACCAGAGAGAGACCAGAGAGAGAGCATAACTCTAACATCTTGTGTTATCCGTGTGTTTCCAGGTGAGGAGCTGAAAGGGAAAATCTGCGTTCGTAAAAACAAGAAGGATCCTCGCTCTCTCCTGGTCCAGGTCCTGCTCCCGGACCGCAGCCTCCACTACACCCTGCAGTGACACACGGCTGCTTTGTAATAAAACTGACAAACAAACACATGTCTCTGGAGTTTCAGTCAAAGAGCGAATACTAGGAGTGGACCAAGTGTGACATCACCACCGTGTTAGCCTAATGCATAAGATTGCTGGAGCTCAGTGTGTTTCAGACCAGTTTCACTTGGAGTTTAGAAATAAAATCCTGCATTTTCAAATAATCCCAGTGAGCTTTAAAAAGTATAAACAAACAGGTGTCTTGTCATGTTTTGCTAGCAGCCGTCGAGACTTGGGTGCGTCTGATTTACTCACCCTTTACTCCCGTCATTGGAAGCAGAACATTGGCCTCAGTGACATGTACTTTAGAGAGAGACCCAGAGAGAGACCCAGAGAGAGACCCAGAGAGAGTCTCTTTAGTCCAACCTGCAGCTGCCCTCAGCAAAGGAAGCGGCTCGAGTGCAATTGGATGCAGCCAATTCCTGGGCTCACCATCGCCCCCTTGAGGCCGATCTCACTCTGATGTCGTGGTTTAGCGCGACAAAGCCCCATTTTTGTTATTTGTTAAAAACACAATGATCCATCCCATAAACTGTAGAGATATTTGTAAAAGAAATATTTTTGAAAGTTTTTAACGGTTATAAACAGGAAACAGTGGCCTCCAGTGCAGTGTCCTCAGTGAGCGGAGTCTCACAGCGCTCCGTCAAATATGAGACAAAGCTCCATCGTCTTGTCTAAAGTGACCAAGTATTTCCATTTTCTTTCCTTCCCTCCGTACGTCGCTGTGAGCTACAAACTGTTGTAATTACGGCCCCTTTGTTAATAAACTCTGTTCCATTCAAATAAATACATACAAATAGAATAATGTGAGGGTAAAAGATAAATGAAAACAATTAAAACTGCTCCTTCTCGTTCCAAAGTGTGAAAGCTGCAGCAACGTTCTCCATCCACTCGAACAAAGCAGCTGCATGTAGACCGAGACCAGACCGAGACCAGACCGAGACCAGACCGAGACCAGAGGGGCCGGACCGGTTTGGAAAGTCAGAGTCCGCTAGACTTGTTCTGAGTTACCGTGGCCTCGTTGGTTTCTCGTGTCTTTGTCTCTGCGTCAGTTTCTTTGTCTCTGAAGAAAACTCCCGACAAAAGAAGTGTGAAATATGAAAGGAGGAAGAACGGGAGAGAAACGACTTCCTCTGACGCAGATTCATCTGGATCTAAGAAACTTTAGACAGTCCAGACGACAGGGACCGGTCTACAGCAGGTCTGAGTCTGGGACAGTCCAGGCGACAGGGACCGGTCTACAGCAGGTCTGAGTCTGGGACAGTCCAGACGACAGGGACCGGTCTACAGCAGGTCTGAGTCTGGGACAGTCCAGACGACAGGGACCGGTCTACAGCAGGTCTGAGTCTGGGACAGTCCAGACGACAGGGACCGGTCTACAGCAGGTCTGAGTCTGGGACAGTCCAGACGACAGGGACCGGTCTACAGCAGGTCTGAGTCTGGGACAGTCCAGACGACAGGGACCGGTCTACAGCAGGTCTGAGTCTGGCACAGTCCAGACGACAGGGACCGGTCTACAGCAGGTCTGAGTCTGGGACAGTCCAGACGACAGGGACAGTTGGTCTGTCTGAACACCTGCACACAGGGAACACAACTGGTCCAAGGGTCGAGCCCTGTGGTACCCCAAAGGAGAACAGACTGATCCCTATGAGATCCTAAACCCTCCTCCTGTATCTCACCCACTGTATCTCACCCTCTGTATCTCACCCTCTGTATCTCACCCACTGTTTCTCACCCTCTGTATTTCACCCTCTGTAGCTCACCCTCTGTTTCTCACCCTCTGCATCTCACCGTCTGTTTCTCACCCTCTGTTTCTCACCCTCTGCATCTCACCCTCTGTATCTCACCCACTGTATCTCACCCTCTGTATCTCACCCACTGTTTCTCACCCTGTTTCTCACCCTCTGTTTCTCACCCTCTGTTTCTCACCCTCTGTATCTCACCCTCTGTATCTCACCCTCTGTATCTCACCCTCTGCATCTCACCCTCTGTAGCTCACCTTCTGTATCTCACCCTCTGCATCTCACCCTCTGTATCTCACCCTCTGTATCTCACCCTCTGTATATCACCCTCTGCATCTCACCCTCTGCATCTCACCCTCTGTATCTCACCCTCTGTATCGCACCCTCTGTTTCTCACCCTCTGTTTCTCACCCTCTGTTTCTCACCCTCTGTATCTCACCCTCTGTATCTCACCCTCTGCATCTCACCCTCTGTAGCTCACCCTCTGTATCTCACCCTCTGCATCTCACCCTCTGTATCTCACCCTCTGTATATCACCCTCTGCATCTCACCCTCTGCATCTCACCCTCTGTATCTCACCCTCTGTATTGCACCCTCTGTATATCACCCTCTGTTTCTCACCCTCTGTATGTCACCCTCTGTAGCTCACCCTCTGTATCTCACCCGCTGTGTCTCACCCTCTGTATCTCACCCTCTGTATATCACCCTCTGTAGCTCACCCTCTGTATCTCACCCTCTGTATCTCACCCTCTGTATCTCACCCGCTGTGTCTCACCCTCTGTGTCTCACCCTCTGTTTCTCACCCTCTGTATCTCACCCTCTGTATCTCACCCTCTGTATCTCACCCTCTGTTTCTCACCCTCTGTATCTCACCCTCTGTTTCTCACCCTCTGTATCTCACCCTCTGTTTCTCACCCTCTGTATCTCACCCTCTGTTTCTCACCCTCTGTATCTCACCCTCTGTTTCTCACCCTCTGTAGGTCACCCTCTGTATCTCAGTAAGACTGTTTCTCACTGACACAGACACAGCTCTATGTTTATAAGAACAAACTGTACAAAACACAGGATGTGTGTCTCTCAGGTCAGGATCAGGAAGTGTGGTGTCACCGTGAGGGGCCGTGTGCGTGTGTGTGTGTGTGCGCGTGTGTGTGTGTGTGTGTGTGTGTGTGTGTGTGTGTGCGTGTGTGTGTGTGTGTGTCCTGGAGACGAGCAGAAATCAATTACTATTATTCTCTGTTGACAATGTAATTAAAGCGACGGCGACGCTAATGCACTGCTCTAGTGTTATCTGCTGTGGCCACGACTCACTCTCACCCTCAGGGGGAGGGGCCTGAGTGTGTGTGAGAGAGGGGGGGGGGGGGGGGGGGGGGGGGGGGGGGGGTTCATTCAGAAGCTCAGAGTCTGGAGTCTTGTTTGCTCTCAGCATAAACCTGGGTCTCCTTCGTCGCACAGTGGTGAGGATGACTGGGCCTCCAAACCGTCTTGCGGCCGTGTCATTTTGTATTTTGTATGTTCAGTGTGAAAACAGTAGTCGTTTAAGAACAATAAAAGTGTTTTCTCGGCCGCTGCTCACATGTGCCCTGGTCTCTCACTGGTCTCTCTGTTCTCTCTCTGGTCTCCCTCTGGTCTCCCTCGGGTCTGTCTCTGGTCTCTCTCTGGTCTCTCCCTGGACTCTCTCTGGTCTCCCTCTGGTCTCTCTCTGGTCTCTCTCTGGTCTCTCTCTGGTCTCTCTCTGGTCTCTCTCTGGTCTCTCTCTGGTCTCTCCCTGGTCTCTCTCTGGTCTCCCCCTGGACTCTCTCCGTTCTCCCTCTGGTCTCCCTCTGGTCTCCCTCTGGTCTCCCTCTGGTCTCCCTCTGGTCTCTCTCTGGTCTCTCCCTGGTCTCTCTCTGTTCTCTCTCTGGTCTCCCTCTGGTCTCTCTCTGGTCTCTTTCTGGCCTCCCTCTGGCCTCCCTCTGGTCTCCCTCTGGTCTCCCTCTGGTCTCCCTCTGGTCTCTCTCTGGTCTCTCCCTGGTCTCTCTCTGTTCTCTCTCTGGCCTCCCTCTGGCCTCCCTCTGGTCTCCCTCTGGCCTCTCTCTGGTCTCTCTCTGCTCTCTCTCTGCTCTCCCTCTGGTCTCCCTCTGGTCTCCTCCTGGTCTCCCCCTGGTCTCCCCCTGGTCTGTATCACACTCTGACAGGAAGTCGATGTCTCTGGTTAAATCCTCGTTACACTGGACTCGGCTCCGGCTCTAAATCTGCCCCAGATTTCGCTCTGAGGTCGATTCAGACGTTTACAGCACCGAGCTTTTGTAACGAGCAGAGAACCCCTCAGCCCCGCGATATCTGGAGCGAATCCTGACACAGACTGAGCCGCAGACGTTTCATCCGAGAGAAATCTTCTGTTACATGAAACAATAATGTTTTTCATCAGAATAACAAAGGGCCCAGAACGATACCCTGTGGAACCCCTCTCCCGCTTTAAACAGCAACATTAAAACTGAAGCCATAAATAAATCCATGAGAATGAAATTAAAACTTTGAATGGGCAAAAATGCAAAATAAATCATGACAAAAATAACGTTGACATTTAGTAGGAATAAGAACATGTTTGGGTTTGAGTTGTTTGGTCTTATTTGTTTTTAGTTTTATTGTTTTTATTTTATTTTTAAATCGGATAACTAGTATCTGATTGTTTTATTACATTTGTTTTGTTTTTACTTTGTGCATAATGTTTCACTAAAGCTGGCCCGACACATATTTAAAAGAAAATGTGCTATATATAAATAAAGTGGATTGGAGAAAACAAGAATCAGGCAGAAATGTCTCAAAACAACAGTCAGCTCCACACTTTCCCATGATGCACCTGGGGAAAAAATACTAAAAAATAATACATTCTCGTCTGATTATTCTAAATTCATCTTTTCATCACAGACCTGTATGTGTGTTTAGCCCCATCCAGGCTCATGCAACCAGCTGCTCACTGCTCTCTCCAAACGAGCTGGAGACACGTTCAAAACACTGCAGCACAGGTACGGACTGCAACACAGGTACGGACTGCAGCACAGGTACGGACTGCAACACAGGTACGGACTGCAGCACAGGTACGGACTGCAGCACAGGTACGGACTGCAGCACAGGTACAGACTGCAGCACAGGTACAGACTGCAGCACAGGTACAGACTGCAGCACAGGTACGGGCTGCAGCAAAGGTACGGACTACAAACAGGAAGTACCATCACTGACTTCCTGTGTGTTTGTTACAAGTCTCTCCATCTGTGACATGTTAGAGCCGCATGAGGAGCACAGGGACTGGCCTCCTGCTGGGACTCTGAGGAGCACAGGGACTGGCCTCCTGCTGGGACTCTGAGGAGCACAGGGACATGGCCTCCTGCTGGTTCCTTGTGTATAAACTGTGCCATACAGATAAACTTGCCATGTCTCGCTGAAGCTGAAGCAGTTTTAGTTTACAGTATAGTGCCTTGCGAAAGTATTCGGCCCCCTTGAACCTTTCAACATTTCGCCACATTTCAGGCTTCAAACATAAAGATATAAAATTTTAATTTTTTGTCATGAATCAACAACAAGTGGGACACAATCGTGAAGTGGAACAAAATTTATTGGATAATTTAAACTTTTAACAAATTTAACAAATTAACAAATAAAAAACTGAAAAGTGGGGCTTGCAATATTGTTGGAGTCTGCAAAAGACCTGAGACTGGGACGGAGATTTATCTTCCAACAGGACAATGATCCAAAACATAAAGCCAAATCTACAATGGAATGGTTCACAAATAGACGTATCCAGGTGTTAGAATGGCCAAGTCAAAGTCCAGACCTGAATCCAATCGAGAATCTGTGGAAAGAGCTGAAGACTGCTGTTCACAAACGCTCTCCATCCAACCTCACTGAGCTCGAGTTGTTTTGCAAGGAAGAATGGGCAAGAATTCCAGTCTCTCAATGTGCAAAACTGATAGAGACATACCCCAAGCAACTTGCAGCTGTAATTGCAGTAAAAGGTGGCGCTACAAAGTATTAGTGCAAGGGGCCGAATAATATTGCACGCCCCACTTTTCTATTTGTTAAAAAAGTTTAAATTATCCAATAAATTTTGTTCCACTTCACGATTGTGTCCCACTTGTTGTTGATTCTTGACAAAAAATAAAATTTTTATATCTTTATGTTTGAAGCCTGAAATGTGGCGAAATGTTGAAAGGTTCAAGGGAGCCGGATACTTTCGCAAGGCACTGTATGTTTGGATCCCTGCGCATTGCGGCGACCGACTGCTGCGCTGTGATTGGCCAAAGACACAGATCATGTGACTTCACACTTGAGTGAGTGTTAAATCTGCTCCACACACACTCATACTCATATAGACGCACACACACATTCATACAGACACACACTCATACAGAGACACATAGTCATACAGACACACACACTCACACACACACACACACACACACACACTGATACACACACACACACATACACGTTTTTGTTACCTGGTGGGTCCCTTTGACAGGGCCGTTCAGAATGGGACCCATAGACATAATCTTTTTTTACTGGGACTACTTTAAGTAATACAAAACAGTCAATAGAAACCAAACAACTATTTTAAAGGAATTTTATTTTAGATTTTGTTTTCGAATTGCAGTGATTCTATTTTTGACATAGAATTTAATGCCACTCCATGTCCGATGTCTAAGGTCATCTGGTGAGGCATTAATGCAGGCCAGGCCAGGCCAGGCCAGGCAGTGAGACTTCCCAGGGACCTTTCCAGTCTGTATGAAAGGTGTCATGGTCTTCTCCACAGCCTTCACCTCAGATGCAGACCATGGCTTTCTTACACGTTCTAGGGGAGAGAAATAAAAATATATTAGCAATATACACTCCCAGGGTTAGGACCAAGCAGCCTGGCTGTAATCCCCCACCTGGTACACTTACCAGAAGGGGCACTGCCACTACCATGGGGTGCCATCTGGATGAATGGTTGAAGGTTCTCCGCTTGAAGTTTCTTTTAGCCCGTCCGTTTGTGAGAGGATCTCTACTGCTCTCCTTGTCGCACAGAAAATAAAAATACAAGTGGGCCTTTAGGGGAAAAAAATCATACATATTTTAATAATATCAAGAATTACCTTCAGGCTCAATTTGTATCTGGTCGAGGCTCTTTCCTTCGAATTCCGTCACTCTTCCCTGCTCCATGGCCATCAACACTTTGCTGATTTTGGCCAGCTCCAGTGTCCCCTCTGGTAGTCTGTAATATTGCCTGTGGATGCGAATGTCATGGCCGAGGAAGTTGGCAAGTATGTCCATCTCATTCTCTTTCATATTGAGAACTGTAGACATAGTAGCTATGTGCTTTCTAAGTTTGGTTGAGGATAGCATCTCTGGATGCACCGCACCACATTCTTTGGCTACCTGGCGTAGGGAGTCTGATCCCCTGATGTGGGTGTCTGCGCCCGGGCGGGAAAAGAAGTATGGGTTATGGTCAGAGATGGAACAGGCCCTTCTGTTCTCCACCAGCACCTCCATCCAAGCAATCATTTCAGGAGTCAAAAGAACCGGCACTTTCCGACTTCTTTTCCCTTTAATTTCAATGCGTTGAAAATGCTGACACAGCTTTTTCTCAAGTTGGGACAGTCCCAGAGCAATGTCAGAATGGATCCCAGTCTTACTTCTTAAGGTAAAGGCTGTCAGTGGCATCTTTGAAACCTCACCTTCCCTTCTTCGATTGAAAATGATGACCTCACAAAGAGTCAAAACTGCCAGTTTAGACCAATGCTTAGACGTTGGCTCACTTATTAGGGTTTGCACATATTCAGGTCGACATACCTCAATATGTGCATGCATGGCTCTAACGTCCTCAGTCAGAGGGAGCAGGTCCGGAGTGTTCCACTTGGCTTGCCGGAGGGTCTGTAGGGCAGCAGAAGAAACACAGACGTCCCACCTCTTCTCAAAAAGCAGCCGGCTTCGTTGGAGGTTTTTAATAAATAGTTCATCAACACAATGCTCCATTTTTGAGTCACATTCAAGAATATCTGCTAGCTTTCTGAGGCTATGGCCGAGTTTGAGGGCCAAGGATGGAGTCTTGTATTGATTTGTTTCCTCATCATATCCAGCCACAGACCTGACTGCATCAATCACATGGTTAAAGTTGGAAGGAATAAAGAAATCCTTAATTGTTTTCAGTTTCCCTGCGGTTTTTGCTTCGTTAATTAACCTACCGACTTCTCTCATTTTCTGCCTAATGTAATCATGCTTAGTCTTATCATGCCCGTGTTTTAAGTACAGGTGCTCTCCGAGTCTCAGAATCCCCTTTTCTGCTTTGACAACACCCGTGACCTCATCCTGATGCATTGCCGAAATTAAAGACCACAGCTTTTTGCTGATGCCCTCCGGTACAGGCTGGGCTAGGGAGCAGAGGGACTGGACCCTACTTCTACCTGGTTTAGCCTGGGCATCTTTCTGTGAAAGCCGGCACCTGGCCACATGCCTCCACAGCGACTTTCGCTTAAGCAATGCCCCACAGTCTATACAGTGCAAAAACTCACTGGATTTAACTGGGGAATTTGGCTGTTTAGCTGGGACTAAAGTTCCAATGCCGGCCTTTAAAACCTCAAAATTGTGCTCACGGTTTCCACTATTCCTGATCAAATCAAACTGAAGTTTACGTGCTTTAGATTTCACAGGTAGAGCCAATGCTCTGGCTACGTCACTTTCATTTCCATGTTTTCTAGTCAAATGACGGGACATTTTGTGGCAGGACATTGAACAGTAGAGGCAGAAGTGTCTCTTGCTGTAAACTCTCCCCCCATTTTTCTTCTTTTGCAGCTGCATGATAACAATCTTATTTGCCTTTGGTTCGTCACTTTCCGAGTCTTGAAGAAAAGTGTTTTTGATTTTTCTTTTTCCATACTTTTTTACAGGTTTCTTCTTGACAGTTAAATCGTCAGAATCTGAGTCGACTTCATCAATTAGGGACTCTTGACTAAGCTGCACAAACAAAAAATAATTTGTAATCATTCTATATAACAATTTGAAGTCATGACTTGTAGTCAGCACTTACCAGTGGTTTGTAAGCGTGCGCTTCAGTGTGCTCCTCCATGATTTCTTGCAGCCTAATGAACCACACACTTGCACCTTTTTCTAGCCTGACACCTGATTTCCTCTGTTGTGCTGCTCCATGATTGGCTCCAGCCTGCTGGACTGAAATTGCCCCAGTGTGCCCCTCCTTGATATCCCGCAACCCACCACCAGGGTTCCGACACATAACACACTTTTTTCAGGAAAGTAAACCTCCAGGGGTCCTTTCCATATTTTTACAGAGACTGCATAAGGACCGTTAGAAAAGCATTACCCATTGATTATTAAGCTTGGACCAGTGGGGTCCGGTGTTCGGGCCCCACCACGTAAAACCAGTCCCCATGACGTGAGTGGAATCTCAGGTTATGGAACCCACCAGGAGTTGAAAACAAGTGCACACATACTCATACACACACACACACACACACACATACTCATACAGACACACACACACACACACACATACTCATACAGACACACAGACAAACACTCATACAGACATACACACACTCACACACACGCACACACATAGTAGAGACTTTCAGCTCAAAAGACACTTTCACACAATAACAATATAACTCTGTGATAAACCCATGTTTCAAGTTTCTGATTCTAAAGTTTAGTTTTTGGTTTTCACATCAGAGAGGACCCGCCTCTCTTAGCCAATCAGCTCTCAGCCAATCTGCTCTCAGCCAATCAGCTCTCAGCCAATCAGCTCTCAGCCAATCAGCTCTCAGCCAATCAGCTCTTGGCCAATCAGCTCTCAGCCAATCAGCTCTCAGCCAATCAGCTCTCAGCCAATCAGCTCTTGGCCAATCAGCTCTCAGCCAATCAGCACTCAGCCAATCAGCTCTCGGCAAATCAGCTCTCAGCCAATCAGTTCTTGGCCAATCAGCTCTCAGCCAATCAGCTCTCAGCCAATCAGCTCTCAGCCAATCTGCTCTCAGCCAATCAGCTCTCAGCCAATCAGCTCTTGGCCAATCAGCTCTCAGCCAATCAGCACTCAGCCAATCAGCTCTCGGCAAATCAGCTCTCAGCCAATCTGCTCTCAGCCAATCAGCTCTCAGCCAATCAGCTCTCAGCCAATCAGCTCTTGGCCAATCAGCTCTCAGCCAATCAGCACTCAGCCAATCAGCTCTCGGCAAATCAGCTCTCAGCCAATCAGTTCTTGGCCAATCAGCTCTCAGCCAATCAGCTCTCAGCCAATCAGCTCTCAGCCAATCAGCTCTCAGCCAATCAGCTCTCAGCCAATCAGCTCTCAGCCAATCAGCTGTTGGCCAATCAGCTCTCAGCCAATCAGCACTCAGCCAATCAGCTCTCGGCAAATCAGCTCTCAGCCAATCAGCTCTCAGCCAATCAGCTCTTGGCCAATCAGCTCTCAGCCAATCTGCTCTCAGCCAATCAGACTCACAGGGATCTTTCTGAGTCCACGTGTCACTGATGAGACTAAAGTTACGTGCAGTAACTCCAGCACTAATCACATCTGTGGAATCTGCTGAGTCATGATGGAACCTCACTGTACACTGTAGTCACTATGAACCATCTGTGGACCTGCTCCTCCTCTGGACATGCTCCTCCTCCTCTGGACATGCTCCTCCTCCTCTGGACGTGCTCCTCCTCCTCAGGACGTGCTCCTCCTCCTCAGGACGTGCTCCTCCTCTGGACATGCTCCTCCTCCTCCTCCTCAGGTCGTGCTCCTCCTCCTCAGGGGGAGAATGTGACACAGGTTTCAGAGGAAAAGCAGTTTGTTAAACCAAAACTCCTCCATTAAGTTGGGTGTTCCTCAAGGATCGATCCTCGGCCCAATTCTGATCAGAAACATGACGATTCCACTGCTGCAGAGACGGCGCTGTTTCTGTCCAAAGACATACCAAGAAAAGACTTAAAAACACCAAACTGCTCCTGAACCCATGAAAAACAGACGTGATCTTATAGATCCCAATCCACAGCCTCAGTCCTGGGTCTACAGCCTCAGTCCTGGGTCTGCAGCCTCAGTCCTGGTCTGTCTCTCTGAGGTTTCTCACATTTTCCTTCTGTGTCTTATGCTGTTGTTGTTTCTGTGAGTTTGGGGCTGACTCAAACTCCAGATGTCAGCTTCTCCTGACGTCACGTGGTCCTCCTGTGCCCCCCCCCCCCCCCCCCCCTCCTCCTCCTCCTCCTCCCCCCTCCTCCTCCTCCTCCTCCCTCCCTTACATACTTCTTCTGTGATGAAGGATCAAACTCCTGTTTAGCTCCTGATGTCACACGAAGGGCACCTTGTGCGCGTGCGCTCCTCACACGTGCACGCGTCTCTTGGACTCTGACGCACGCTCCACGCACGGTCCACGCGCGCCCCTGTGCCGCGCGGCAGAAGTAGAAAAGCTTTGGCTCTTTGTCCGCGCGGCAGAACAACGTGAGAGCGGCACAGGACTGTCCCAGGCGCGGCAGCATGGTAAGTGTCCGCGTGTGCGCGTGTGTGTGTGTGTGTGTGACTGAGCGTGTTTGAGTGTGTGCGCGTGTTAGGGTGTGTGCGCGTGACAGGTGCGGAGTTTCGGTAAAGTTGCCGCTGTCCGCGGTGCTGAAAACAGTTTGTGAGAAAGAAGAAAAGATGAACGCGCGAAAGTTTGTTATTTTCAGATGTGTGTGTTACTGTTATGTGTGTCTGTAGTGTGTGTCTGTAGTGTGTTACTGTTGTGTGTGTCTGTTGTGTGTTAGTGTAGTGTGTTACTGTTGTGTGTTACTGTGTGTTACTATTGTGTGCTACTGTAGTGTGTTACTATAGTGTGTTATTGTACGGAGGCCGTAAGAGGCCAATTCTGACGCTCTCTGTGCGCGTGAACACTGTACAATCAGTGCAGTTCAGTCCAGGTCAGAGACATCCTCTTTGTGTCTGCTTTAAACTGGACCAAGAGTCTGGACCAAGAGTCTGGACCAAGAGTCTGGACCAAGAGTCTGGACCAAGTAGATTTCAGCCCAGACCCGCGGCAGGACGTGGCAGGACATTGTCCGACATGCTGTACTGTATAAGTGACGCGCACTGCCTCTGAGGGCGCGTGGCACTGCGCCATTCTGCCGCATCAGCGTTTTCCGCACTGTACCGTGTCTGCCGCGTGTACAGTATGCGCGCGCACGTGGATATTTAGAGCCAAAACTGTGAATAATTCAACACAATATTATCATTATCGTTATCACTATTATTTTTTATATTATTATTACTATTATTATGATTTTTATGATAATCATAATAATAATTATTATGATATTGTTATATTTTTAGGCTGTGATCACGTGATGTTTAATCTGCAGATTCAGAGCCATTTCATTTGTGAAGGATTGAAATCTTAAACCTGCTGACTGTGCACGCGCCTCTCACTTATGGTTTATCATCAATAACCACTTCTATAAATGTGACTGAACCATGTGCGTGAACCATGTGCGTGAATCCAGAGTGAGAAGAAAGTTTATAATAATTATTGCTCTTTCTTTTGTTTCCTCTGATGTGCTGCACGTGCGCAGTTCATGTGGAAATAAAACAGATTATTTTCTTTACTGAAGAAAACACGAGATTTAAATCCACTGCAGAGAAATGTTTGTGTTTGTGTTTGTGGAAACAGAGGAAACCGCGGCGTCAGCATTTACTGAGTTTAACCTGAAAACACAACTCAAAACAAACCAGGCGGTGTTTTCCTCCAGAGGCTCCGGTTTGAATCATGAATATTATGAAAATGATTCTAACGATTCTTATGATTTTATTTTCGTTTTGATTCATTAATCTCGTCCTCCTCGTCCTCACGGGTTCAGATGTCGCGAGAGCAGAGTCTTGTTTACATCGAAATGAGAATTAAAACAACACATTGTGTTGTCTTTGTGTGTTTACAGACCCTCAGACCGAGGGTCGTTGCTATAGTTACGGAAAATATCAACCTCGAGATGCTCAATGTTCGACTGATTTTAGTATTTTTATATAATTATATTAGTATTATTATTACTATTAGTGTTATTATTATTATTATTATTATTATTATTATTATTATTATTATTATTATTAATGTGTTCGTGTATCGTCCTGTTTTCTCTGAGGACTTCACCAACAACGGATCAGAAAATCAGATCAAAAACAGGAAATGTAATAATGCAATAATGACAAATACATGGAAGTGGGGGTTATATTATTATTATTATTATTATTATTAGTAGTAGTATTATTATTAGTATTATTATTAGTATTATTATCATTACTATTATTAGTATAAGGCCGGTACAGGCGGTGTGAGCTGTGGTAACCCAGGACTTTCCTCTTGAACAAAGCTGACTCTGCTGAATCAGCGCTTCTCACAAACAGAGGAAATAAAAATAGAATAAACCAAAACTGTAAATAAAAGAGTTAAATTATGCAAAAGATTAAAAGATTTTGCGATTTCTAATTTTTCAGAAATTATCAAATTTTACTTTAATTTTTACGTCAATTTTTATCTTTTTCGTTTCGTTTTTTCAATTCGAACCTCGCGTTGGATGATGTTTGTTCCTCAGAGGAGAAGGTTCAGTGTTGTAGTTCACAGTCTGCGGTTTCATGAGGACCAGTTACTTTGAGCCCGTTCAGTCTGTGACGCCGCGGCTTGCCTTCCCACGGAGCCGCTCCGGACCGACGGAACCACACTGATCCTCGTGTGTTTTATTTTCAAATATATTTTACACAAAACTTGCATCAAAACTCATGAAACAGTTTGATTCAGAAAAGAGAAACTGGAGAAAGTTAGTTTCATTTGCAGCGATTTCAGAAACACGCGCCTCAGCAAAAAGAGGGATTTCCTGCACGAGCTAAAAATAAAGGTCTCTCCTCACGCGCGCTCTGGTCTCGGTCTGTCCTCACGCGCGCTCTGATCCCGGTCTCTCCTCACGCACGCTCTGGTCCCGGTCTCTCCTCACGCGCGCTCTGGTTTCGGTCTGTCCTCACGCGCGCTCTGGTCTCGGTCTGTCCTCACGCGCGCTCTGGTCTCGGTCTGTCCTCACGCGCGCTCTGGTCTCGGTCTGTCCCCGTGTTCCCTCCGCCTTAGAGAAGCTGCTGTTTAAGGAATGTTTGAATTTCAAATATGGTCTTGGGTCTATCCTCGCGCGCTTTGGTCCCGGGTCTATCCTCACGCACGTTCCATGGGTCTATCCCCAACGCGTGTTCCAGTCTCGGATCTATTCTCGAGCGCATTGCATGGGTCTCTCATCACGCACTCTCTGGTCCAGGGTCTTTCCTCACGCGCTTTCTGGTCCAGGGTCTCTCATAACGCGCGCTCTGGTCCAGGGTCTCTCATCACGCGTTCTCTGGTCCAGGGTCTTTCCTCACGCGCGCGCTCCGCTCCTGGGTCTCCCCGCGTCACTTCCAGATCGTCATATTTGGACCTAAATCCCATTCATAAATATCTCCAGAAGGAAATATCCACTTTTAACGTTATAACTATTTTCTTCAGTCATAAATGTATCTTTATGACGTCACTGACCTAAGCCTTTGATCCTAAACGTCGTCACTTTGAGGCGAAACAAGAATGTTCTAAATGTTTAGATACTCGGACACGGTGAGACCCCCAACCCTTCTGCAGAACCCAGAGTGGCGCAAACATCCGCACCGCAGTGTTTTGCATTGGCGGCGGTCATGTGCTTCTGCTCCGCGCGCACACAGCGTCATTGTCGAACGTTTTGAGAACGCGACCTCTCCGCTGTGACGTAACGGGCCTTTTGACGCAGAGCAGTAGTTTTGTCTCCTGAACGTAAAGCCACGTACGCAGCGCGGGTTTGTGGTGTAGGCGCGCGAGACTTTTGGACTTTTCTCGACAATTTTAATACATTTTAATTTCTTCCGTAATATATGGACTTCTCTGACGTCGGGTTCAAAAGAGAAATGAGGCCCGATGCTTCCCTTTGAGTCTGATGTGGCCCTGGGTTTGTCCTCACAGTGTGAAGAGTTTGAAAACAGAGCGTTTCGGCAGAAGGGGTGGGGGCAGTTCCTGATGTTAGCGTGGATGGAGCGAAAGACAACTGCAGGTCTGTGGAGAGAGAGAGAGCATTTTGTGAAGAACTGGTCTCCCCCATGGACCAGGGCTGTCCCTCTCCTCACCCATGACCCTCAAAGCCCCCCGCCCCCCATCTCGCTCCTCCTGCTCCTCCACATCCCTCTCCTCCTGGTCCTACACATCCCGCTCTTCCTGGTCCTCCACCCCCTCCTCTCCTCTCTCCTCCCCGGGCCCAGGAGCTCCTCTCTCTGGTCCTCCACCCCCTCCTCTCCTCTCTCCTCCCCGGGGCCAGGAGCTCCTCTCTCGGGGCACTGCAGCAGCTTGTGTCGCCCATAAAGCAGCGCGCGGTTCAATGACACCGCGGCAAATGGTGCGGAAAATTAAAGAATCCAGCAAATCTCACCCCTGTCCCCCCGTAAACCCCCCCTCTCTCTCTCACGCACACGCACACCCACACACACACTCATGCACACACAAGCACGCACACGAGATCGCACGTACAGCAGATCTGCCCGTTCAGCACTTTTTACGCGCGCAGTAATTCAATTCAGAGGCGTCAGATACGAATCAATGAAGGGAGAGAGAGGAGAGGGGGAGAGAGGGGGTGTGGAGGGAGAGAGAGGGGGTGAGGAGGGAGAGAGAGGGGGTGAGGAGGAAGAGAGGGGGGAGGAGGGAGCCAGGGGGTGGGGCTGAGACGCAGGCCTTCGGTGAGCGGACGTGTTTTCACTTAAATTTAAAAAATGGAATGCGCAAAACGAAAAGTAAAATGAGAGTTATAGTTTTGTGATCACTGATCCTGGTCCATCACAGACCTGCAGTTGTTTGCCCCCCCCCTCCCCGCCCCCCAACCAGAGTTTGGGCTGCACGTGCTGCTCTTTCCTTGTATACATTTGTCCACGTGAAACATATTTTAAAGTTTGAAATGTTCTTTATGGCCCCACTTGGATGATATACTCTCTCTGGTCTCTTTCTGGTCTGTCTCTCTGGTCTCTCTCTGGTCTCTCTCTGGTCTCTTTCTGGTCTCTCTCTTGTCTCTCTCTCTGGTCTCTCTCTGGTCCCTCTCTGGTCTCTCTCTGGTCTCTCTCTGGTCTCTCTCTGGTCTCTCTCTGGTCCCTCTCTGGTCTCTCTCTGGTCTCTCTCTGGTCCCTCTCTAGTCTCTCTCTGGTCTCTCTTTGTACTCTCTCTGGTCTCTCTCTCTGGTCTCTCTCTGGTCTCTCTCTGGTCTCTCTCTTGTCTCTCTCTCTGGTCTCTCTCTGGTCCCTCTCTGGTCTCCCTCTGGTCTCTCTCTGGTCTCTCTTTGGTGTCTTTCTGGTCCTTGTCTCTCTCACCGTGACGTTACTTTTATTCCTGTCCTCCTTGTGGCGAGAAGTTGACACGGGTCCAAACCACATGGTGACTTTCCTCAGCACGGGTCATGAACACAGACCTCATGACAAAACGGTCAGAGCTGTTTTCTTTAGTGTCGTCTTCAAACTGTTTCAGAAGATTCTGAATGTTTTGCAATTCCCTGCGTTTAACGTGGTCTCACTCTGGACCAGAACAGTTGGGGAAACCAGAGCACCTGGAGGAAACCTAGTGGACTCATAATGCTGCGTTCTCACCGGATCATGCTGCGACGACTTTCAATGCAAAGTCAATGGTGACGCGCGTTCAAGCGTGGAACTGCATGTGTGTCTGGGGATGCACGGACTGCTCAATAGAGACGCATGCACGGACTGCGCGGCAAAGGTGCGGCAGAGGCGCAGGAGCGGAAAATCGACGCACGCAGTAGATACATCATTTTGCTGAGCGTTTCCTCGGGACGCTCGTGCAGCGACCAATCAGAGAGCTGCAAGTGGTCACGGGGACATTAATGTCTGAGCGAGCAGACTGAACATACTGTAATCAGCCAAAACAGGAGCTACACCAGGACTAAACCAGGACTAAACCAGGACTAAACCAGGACTAAACCAGGGTTGACAATGGGGGACATAGTGCTTGTGAACATGTGAGTTTCATGCTCCCGTGACTCCCGTGTCCGCCGATGCGGAAGTACCGTTTAAATAAACTTATGGCACACCTCCGCGAACACATACTGCTGTTCTCTGTTGTGTTCTCTCTCGTGGTCTCTCGCGTGTAGACGTGGTCTCTCTCTCGTGCTCTCTCTCGTGGTCTCTCTCGTGGTCTCTCTCGTGCTCTCTCTCGTGGTCTCTCTCGTGTTCTCTCTTGTGCTCTCTCTCGTGTTCTCTCTGAAGGATGTGGCTCTTATGGTGCATTCAGACCGCCAACGCTGAAACGTTGAAGTCCTGCTCACCAGACGCGCATTCTCTAGTTTTCAGACGCAGAGGTCTTCACACCAAGATGTCCTGACGCGCACCGGCAGTGCCGGAAGTAGCCGGCCGGCTGTGATGCTAACAGAATTTAGCTAGCGGCTTCTTGTGTACAGATCTTCTTCAATAATGCAGCTTTGCAGCGTGTCTTTGAACAGAGACTTTCCACAGGCTTTATATAACAGTAGTATGTGTTCACGGAGGTGCGCCATACGTGTTTTCATATTATTGTGGTAAACAGTGACCTATGTACTGCACAGGTGGACAAATGCAAGACAAAATAGTTTTAATAACCTGGCCTTGTGGAGGTCTCAAGGACCACAGAGACTTTCGTTGTTTAGGCTATTTGGTGCCGAAGGTTTGGCTTTTTTTATGATGACGTAGATTTCCATATATAATGTATCTGTGTCTTTTGTTCTGTCTGAAATTAACGACCATTTTGTGAATAAACCAGCCAGGAGGCTTTGTCGTACAAAGATCCCGTTTTGCCTGAGTCTGATTCCTATTATTATTAAACGAAATTTCCGCATCGGCGAACACACTCAAAGCAGTTGCATAAGGTCACGGGAGCACGACAACGCATATTTTCACAAGCACAGAGTCCCCCATTGTCAACCCTGGTTTGAGTTCTGGTGAAGTCTGGTGTGGGTCCTGTTTTGGCTGTTTACAGTATGTTCAGTCTGCTCTCTCAGTCCGCTAATGTCCCCGTGACCACTTTGCTGCTCTCTGATTGGTTGTCGCACGAAGTCCCAAGGAAAGGATGAGCAGAATCCATCTCCTGTGGGCGTCCATTTTTTGCTCCTGCTCCTCCCCTTGGACTTTCCCGCCAAGTCCGTGCGTGTCTACTGAACAGTCCGTGCGTGTCTACTGAACAGTCCGTGCGTGTCTACTGAACAGTCCGTGCGTGTCTACTGAACAGTCCGTGCGTGTCTACTGAACAGTCCGTGCGTGTCTGAACAGTCCGTGCGTGTCTGAACAGTCCGTGCGTGTCTGAACAGTCCGTGCGTGTCTACTGAACAGTCCGTGCGTGTCTACTGAACAGTCCGTGCGTCTCTGAACAGTCCGTGCGTGTCTGAACAGTCCGTGCGTGTCTGAACAGTCCGTGCGTGTCTGAACAGTCCGTGCGTGCGTGTCGAGAGGTCCGTTGTGACGCTCGAACGTGAGTCACCATAGACTTTGCATTGAAAGCCGACGCAACGGATGATCCGGTCTGAAAGCACCATAAGGACGGAGGATGCTTGATCTATCTAATTTTCTAATCTGTATTTCTCAATCACCAATATTGCGTTGCCCTGGGAGACAGCGGTTGTTGTGATTTTTGTGAATAAATAAATAAAGTGTTTTCTTTGTGTGTGCAGGATCTCCACGAGCACAGCCTCCCCTCTGCCCCCGTGCCTCCCCCGGGGGAAGCGCGGCCTGAAGGGGGCGCTCACGCAGAGGTGGACGGAGCCCGAGCGTACGGCACGTTCAAGAGCCCCGCCCCCGCGCCCCCTGAGCAGAACAACTGGAGCAGCGCGGGTCCAAACCCGGTCCAGAACCAGACCATGAGCCAGACCACCATCATCCTGGGCACTGACGGCAGCGCGAGCGTGCAGCCGGGGGGCGCGCTCCACAGCGGCGCTCTGGTGAGTCTGACACTGGGACTTTAAAGGTTCTCTCCTGGTCTGGGTACTTTCCAGGTCCTCTGAGGGATGAGGACGAGAACGACAGATGTCGGTGCAGCCTCTGCAGTGATGTGGTTGCTGTGTCAGACTGTTGTGGTTAACAGGGAACAACGTCTGCTGTCAGAGCTCTACCTGTTATGAGCCTTGGAAGGAAATCAGGCCTTCGGATTCTGCTTCGGATTCGAAGTGCACAGCGTCTACACGGCGACGGAAAACAATGTAGTTTAGCGCACGGCCTGTAGGGGGCAGTGCAACAACACAACACACAAACCCCGGCAAGAACCACTTCCTCAACAACATCCTCCTCAGGGAAAGAACCAACATCATTTTCCTGGAGGCCGTTTTTCATTGCTTCATTTTGACTTCATTTTGATGCTTCATTAAGGCCAATCCGATTTTTCTGTCTGTGTAAACAGGAGCTCAGAGTAGAGCTGCTGCTCCTTCCCATGAAGAGGGCCCATGAGGTTGTTCAGGCTTTTGTTCTGGATACTTCCCCCAGACTCCTCCTGTGTCTCCTGTTCCTCCTCTCTCCTTCTCCTAATCCTCTTTTCACCCCACTCTTATCCCTCCCTCCTCCTCCTCCTCCTCCTTCTCCTTCTCCTTCTCCTCATCTTCTCTTCTCCTCCTCCTCCTCTTCTGCAGCTGAAGCTCAGGCCGCATTGCGTAAAACCAGCGTGGCTCTGCACCAAACCATCACTGCCTCCAGTGTCCCTCAACCCCCCCCCCCCCCCCCCCCCCCCCCCCCTCCACCCCCCCTCACCCCTCCTCACCCTCTTCAAATCTCTGACATAATTTCATTTCCGCGCGTCACATAATCACACACGCGTCAGATTTGCCGCTTCATTTGACCGCGCGTCAAGAGCCCGCGGCAAAATACACACACACACACACACGCACACACATACACACACACACACACACACACACACACACTACTGTACAGTGAGCATCATTAGCGGCGCGTGGGCCTCACGCACGCTGCTGTAGCTGTAATTACTCCACAGTTTCAGGGGATTTTTATTTCCCGCGCTGTGGGTTTGTTCCATTTAAATAAAACATTCAAGAAAATAAAGAAAAACAAAAAAATAAACCTCTCTCTCTCTGAAGTCTCTGCTTCACCTTCAAAGCCACGGCCTGGTTCAGCGGACTCTTTCATTTCTACAGTCAGAAATTAGAATTGATCGGTGTTTACGGATGGTTATGGCCATAGTAATAATAATATTAATGATAATAATAATAATAATAATAATAATGAAAATAGTAATAAATCAATGTAGTAATTTTAATAGTATAGCAAAAGTTTTTAGGAGGGTATGTAGCGTGTGTGTGTGCGTGTCTATGTGTGTCTCCCGTGGGACACGCACTCGTGCTGCATGATCACGCGCGTCAATCGGGTCAGTGCGCGCGCAGCTGCGGTCCTCACAGTTTAGTAACAGAAGTTTATTTGCTCCGTTTGTGTCTCACTGTAAATGACTCCGGTTTTTACCTGATGAAGCAGCAGTAGTAGTAGTATAGTTGTAGTAGTAGCAGCAGTAGTAGTAGTATAGTTGTAGTAGTAGCAGCAGTAGCAGTAGTATAGTAGTAGCAGCAGTAGCAGTAGGAGCAGGAGGCCGAGTGGTGCATGACTCAGCAGAATTGTTGCTGACACCGCATATTTTTGAAATGTTTTCCATTTTTAAGATAAGATAAAGTAATCTTTATTTATATTTATATTTTTTATTATAAATTAAACGGCTGTGTTTAAATGAGCACGTGCAGTATGTGTGTGTACGTGCAGTATGTGTGTGTGTGTGTGTACGTACAGTATGTGTGTGTCCGTGCAGCATGTGTGTGTGTGTGTGTGTGTGTACGTGCATCCTTATAGTCCTACTACATAGTATAGTATTATTTAAACCCAAGACAGAGGCTTTAATCTTTAACTGCAGCACAATCCACATTTTTTTCTTTATTTTATTATAACAATGATGAAAATAATTGTTAGGTTTACGTTCTTATATGAGAAACCATCCGCTGAGCGCGCGGCCTCCGCATCAGATTTCACGCACACGCACGCAGACTTTGGACCTATAAGTTCAGCAGGACTGTGAATTAGTGAAATGTATTTAAAAAAGGGCAAAGCTAATGTGCTTTCTTTTTTTATTTCACGCTTCAGGATCCAAAGACTAAAACAGAACACACAGCTTCAAAGTTACGTATCCAGACTTTACTCTGGACCTTCTGAACATTTTTAACTAAAACACATAAAAAACAGAGACTTTAAAGGGCCGCAGCGTGCAAGCGCACGGGCGAGTTTCAGCTGTTTTTCAGTTTCAGCGCCTCTGTCTGAGATCCTTCTATTACAGACATAGTCCTGGTTCAGTCCTGCTGGTTTAGTCCTATTGGTTCAGTCCTGCTTTGGCTGTTTTATGGTGCTTTCAGACCGGATCATGCGTTGCGTCGGGTTTCAATGCAAAGTCTATGGTGACGCGCGTTCGGCGTCACAACGCACAGACCGCTCGATTCGCACGAACGGACTGTTCAATAATGACGCACGGACTTGGCGGGAAAGTGAAAAGGGAGGAGCACGAGCGAAAAATGGACGCCCACAGGAGATGGATTCTGCTCATCCTTTCCTTGGGACGTTCGTGCAACAACCAATCAGAGAGCAGCAAAGTGGTCACGGGGACATTAGCGGACTGAGAGAGCAGACTGAACATACTGTAAACAGCCAAAACAGGACCCACACCAGACTTCACCAGAACTCAAACCAGGGTTGACAATGGGGGACTCTGTGCTTGTGAAAATATGCGTTGTCATGCTCCCGTGACCTTATGCAACTGCTTTGAGTGTGTTCGCCGATGCGGAAATACTGTTTAATAATATAAAAACACGTATGGCGCACCTCCGTGAACACATACTGCTGTTGTATAAAGCCCGTGGAAGGTCTCTGTTCAAAGACACGCTGCAAAGCTGCATTATTGGAGAAGATCTGTACACAAGAAGCCGCTAGCATAGCTCTGTTAGCATCAGAGCCTGCCGGCTACTTCAGGCACTTCCGGTGCGCGTCAGGACATCTCGGTGTGAAGACCAGAGCGTCTGAAAACTAGAGAATGCGCGTCTGGTGAGCGGGGCTTCAGCGTTTCAGCGTTGGCGGTCTGAAAGCACCATTAGAGTCTTTTCGTCTCCTTGCTCTGACCCGTGACCACTTTGCTGCTCTCTGATTGGTTGCTGCATGCGTCGCGTTGCTGTATCCACCGCGTCTGCCGCAAAACGAACACAGACCTGTGTCACCTGCGTCATCATCGACACAGCTTTGAAACCAGTGTCGGCGGTCCGGCTCCGAGGAGTCTGCGCACGTCGATGTTAAGGGGAGTAAATGTTTCTGGACCAGTCTAGTTTAGTCGCTGTGGACTTTTGAATGCACTCGTTAAATGAATGGGGCTAGTGCAGCTAACACATGCACAAATGTGTTTCTCACATTTTCCCTGCGGCCATTTTGAAAAAGCCACAGAAGGAAAAAATTAAGTTCAAACGGCGGAGGTAGGCGTGACTACATCTTCAATATTTACCAAGAACCACTTTTGGACCAAGACCATTTTGAAAATACTGAAAAAAATGGCGAGTGTGACACAAACAGTGACTGAGCTAAACGAGTTACTTTTACATGTAGCATTGTGCGTCTGAAGCATTGTGCGTCTGAAGCATTGTGCGTCTGAAGCATTGTGCGCCTGTAGCATTGTGTAGCTAACCTGTCATGTTAACAACAGGCTGTTTTGTTGCAGTGTGAAGAAGAAGAGGACGAAGGCGGCGACGAGAACAAAGCTCGAGGAAACTGGTCCAACAAACTGGACTTCATCCTGTCCATGGTGGGCTACGCCGTGGGGCTTGGCAACGTGTGGAGGTTCCCCTACCTGGCCTTCCGGAACGGCGGAGGTGAGAGGAGCTAGCATCTGTTAGCACATATTAGCATCTGTTAGCATGTGCTAGCATGTGCTAGCTCGAACATGTGTTAGCTCGAACATGTGTTAGCTCGTACATGTGTTAGCTCGTACATGTGTTAGCTCGAACATGTGTTAGCTCGAACATGTGTTAGCTCAAACATGTGTTAGCTCAAACATGTGTTAGCTCGTACATGTGTTAGCTCATAAATGTGTTAGCTCAAACATGTGTTAGCTCGTACATGTGTTAGCTCATAAATGTGTTAGCTCGAACACGACACTAAAAGCACATATGACTCTGAAAACATAGTTTGCAAGATCAAGTGTTTTACAAACTGTTGGATAAATGTGAGATTTGGTGCTGACCCCGGGATGATGACACCGCCAGGGTTTAGGCCCAGTGGTGGTAGCTCGTTGGAGGCTGAAAAAGCTGGTCTGGCCAACGAGGCGGTGATGGGGAGGAGGAGGGTTGCTGCATGTATGAAAGCTGCTGCTTGAATGAACTTCCTGTTCAATATGAATTGCTGCCAGGAGGGGGCAGTGTGGCTTCAGCAGAGAGTGACCGACTGTTAGGCTCCAACTACGTATCCGTCCAAACGTGTCCGTTTCATCTCCGTTTCCGTTATCTCCATGAGGGTGAATGGAAGTGGCTCCACTGCCCGCGACATGCGTCCGTCTGACGCGCGTTGGGAGCAGTCCGTCCACGGAGGGTGCAACGGACGCGGACGGACGAAATAGAAACAATCCTATTTTTCACGTCCGTTGACGCGTGTCTGGTCCGTTTTCCATTGAATTTACAAAGGAATAATATATTGATGTATTGACATGTGCTGTAGTCCTTGGTTATGGTTAAGTGTTAATGACAATGATTATTAACAAATGTGTTTATTTTACAAACTTTACACACACACACACACACACACACACACACACACACACACACACACACACACACAGAGCTACTACATGCACATCACACACCGCTTCTTCTATTTAAAACAATTCCTCACGGGGCTGTTAAACGCACAGCCAGAGCTGCAGCCGGTTTGGCCACTATCCCGTACCTCACCCCTCCCTCACTCTGATGGTCTCTCTCCTCCTCAGGGGCCTTCCTGATCCAGTACCTCACCCCTCCCTCACTCTGATGGTCTCTCTCCTCCTCAGGGGCCTTCCTGATCCAGTACCTCACCCCTCCCTCACTCTGATGGTCTCTCTCCTCCTCAGGGGCCTTCCTGATCCAGTACCTCACCCCTCCCTCACTCTGATGGTCTCTCTCCTCCTCAGGGGCCTTCCTGATCCAGTACCTCACCCCTCCCTCACTCTGATGGTCTCTCTCCTCCTCAGGGGCCTTCCTGATCCAGTACCTCACCCCTCCCTCACTCTGATGGTCTCTCTCCTCCTCAGGGGCCTTCCTGATCCAGTACCTCACCCCTCCCTCACTCTGATGGTCTCTCTCCTCCTCAGGGGCCTTCCTGATCCAGTACCTCACCCCACCCTCACTCTGATGGTCTCTCTCCTCCTCAGGGGCCTTCCTGATCCAGTACCTCACCCCTCCCTCACTCTGATGGTCTCTCTCCTCCTCAGGGGCCTTCCTGATCCAGTACCTCACCCCTCCCTCACTCTGATGGTCTCTCTCCTCCTCAGGGGCCTTCCTGATCCCGTACCTCACCCCTCCCTCACTCTGATGGTCTCTCTCCTCCTCAGGGGCCTTCCTGATCCCGTACCTCACCCCACCCTCACTCTGATGGTCTCTCTCCTCCTCAGGGGCCTTCCTGATCCCGTACCTCACTCCTCCCTCTCTCTGATGGTCTCTCTCCTCCTCAGGGGCCTTCCTGATCCCGTACCTCACTCCTCCCTCTCTCTGATGGTCTCTCTCCTCCTCAGGGGCCTTCCTGATCCCGTACCTCACCATGCTGGGTATCGCTGGGATCCCGATCTTCCTGCTGGAGGTGTCTTTGGGGCAGTTTGCGAGTCAGGGGCCGGTGTCCGTGTGGAAGTGTATCCCAGCTCTGCAAGGTAATATGGCCCCCACCCCCAATGCAAGGGGCCCCCAGCAGTCAGAGGAGCGCACAGGCTGATGTAGACGCAGACACACACACGCACACACACACACACACACACACATATAGACACACACACAGACACACACACATGGATTCACACACACACACACACACACACACACACACACACAGCTGGGAGCATATTTAGGCTGTAAAAGCTTTTTACCTTTTCTACATGTTTTCCTCATGTTTTTATTCTAAAGTTGTAAGTAATGAACCTCTGTCCAGCGTGTTGTGTTGTGTTCAGTCACTTAGCCTCTCTTTTATTGACACTAACGAGTTTATCTCCTGATCTCAGATGGTTCACGAAGCAGTAGAGCGGCTGTGTTAAAGCTGGGGTACCTACGTTTCAAACCACATAAGAGCTCGCCATCTCGGCCGTCACTCTCAAAACAGTTCTGTCTCTAGTTTCACATCTGCTTTTTTAGACAGAACAGTGACAATCCCGAGCCCTCAGCCAATCAGGTACGCCGGCTTTAACGACTCGAGCCCTCGGCCAATCAGGTATGCCGGCTTTAACGACTCCAGCCCTCGGCCAATCAGGTACGCCGGCTTTAACAAGCGTGACTAAACCTTTGGCTCTTTCTCAGGAGCGTCACATAAGAATAAGACAGGACCCAAAGCGGAGCCCTGAGGAACCCCACAGCCAGACCATAAGGCCCACTGTGTGTTGTGTGTGTGCGTCCGTCGCCCGTCTGCTCTGTGCTGCCCCCTTGTGTTTGTGTGTCTCTGATGCTGCCGCTCAGTAACAGCCATTGTCTCGTTTATGTGTATTTTAGGTTGCGGGATTGCCATGTTGATAATATCTGTCTTGATAGCCATTTACTATAACATTATAATGTGCTGGACTCTGTACTACCTGTTCGCTTCGTTGAAGGGAGACCTGCCGTGGGCGCACTGCCGGAACGCCTGGAACACGGTGGAATGTAAGGACAAAGACATGCTCGCGCTCGGTGAGTCTGATCTCTAAACTATCTCTTATCTATCTCTAATCTATCTCTAAACTATCTCTTATCTATCTCTAATCTATCTCTAAACTATCTCTTATCTATCTCTAATCTATTTCTAAACTATCTCTACACTATCTCTGAACTATCTCTAAACTATCTCTACACTATCTCTAATCTATCTCTAAACTATCTCTGAACTATCTCTGAACTATCTCTAAACTATCTTCAGACGCCTGTATTATAACGCAGTACTCTGTGTACTTTAGACGCCTGTATTATAACGCAGTACTCTGTGTACTTCAGACGCCTGTATTATAACGCAGTACTCTGTGTACTTTAGACGCCTGTATTATAACGCAGTACTCTGTGTACTTCAGACGCCTGTATTCTTCGGGACAGAAACTTCTCGTCCATCAGAAACACTTCCTTCTGTTTTTCGGCGAACGCTGCTGGAAATCTGAGTAAGATCCTGAACGCTACAGTTTTTCACAACGAGACGTACGTCAGCCCCAGCGAGGAGTACTTCAAGTGAGTACTACAACTACTGCATGTACTGCACGTACTTCAATCTTTATCACAATGAGACGTACTTCAGCCCCAGCGAGGAGTACTGTAGAAGTACTTCAAATACTGCAGTTTTAGTTTCTGTTTTACCTGTATCAGGTTCACTCTGAAGTGCTAACCACTCAGAGACATGACACCAGAAGAAACAAATTGATAATAATCTGGCGCCACCTGCAGGTGAAAGCCTGATCCTGTCACACTCCTGAAACTAAGTAGGGCTGGGCTTGGTTGGTACTGTGATGGGAGACCTATTGGAACACCAGGTGCTACAGTGGGGCGGCTGTGGTTTTAAAGTGCCAACTGTTGCGTCTTTAGGCAAGACACTTGTGTCCCAGGGCAGCTGTGGCTACAGTTGTAGTTAACCACTGTGTACAAAGTGAATGATGTAAAAATGTGCCTCAGGTACAACGTGCTGCACATTTCCAAAGGGATCGAGTTTCCGGGCGACCTGCGCTGGCCTCTGGCCGGGTGTCTGCTGCTGGCCTGGATCATCGTTTACGCCTCTCTCGCCAAAGGGATCAAGTCCTCTGGGAAGGTAACCACTCCAGCTGCGAGCAGCGGCTCCTCTCTGAGCTCCACTGCAGGTTAAAGCCATCATTTTAATGCACTTTGGATCAAATGTCTGTTTAACAAACATATGTAGATTTAGCCTCATAACCAACTCATGGCTGTTTAGAAAAGGTGTTACACATGTTTGTGAAAAAGATCCCTGTGAGTCCCTATTTGACTCTTTAGGCAGAGGGAGGGGGTCCTCTTGTCCCGTTCTTTCTGTTTGAAAAAGCAGGTCTGAAGATTTAATTCAGGAAAAAAATTAAGACATTAAGGGGCAGAAGATGGATGGATGGATGTGAAAACAATGATTTTCTGCTGTTAGTCCGCTCCTGTCGTGTTGCTCTGTCGCCCTCTGGTGGACACATCAGTGCAGTACATGCTGTAGAATTAGATTTACTGATGTGGCCTTTGGTCTTGAGGTTGTTCAGCTTCAGGTTTGAGTTCTTTCTGAAGTAGATATTGCACACACTCAAAGCTCTTTGCTCAAGGGCACAAAGTTTCCAATATGAGTCCTGGGTATTTTGAAGCAGGTTTAACTCACGATATAACCCACAAAATCTCAAAGGCTGGTCTCGCTCTAATCTCTCCCTCTTGTCATCTGGTTTTGATCGAGTCTCTCTCTGGCCTTCCTCTGGTCTCTGTCTGGTTTCCCTCTGGTCTCTCTCTCTGGTCTCTCTCTGGTCTGTCCCTCTCTGGTCTCTTTCTGCTCTATCTCTCTGGTCTCTCTCTCGTGTTTCCTTCTGGTCTCTCTCTGGTCCCTCTCTGGTCCCTCTCTCTCTGGTCTCTCTCTATCTCTGGTCCCTCTCCGGTCTCTCTCTCTGGTCCCTCTCTGGTCCCTCTCTCTCTCTGGCCTCTTTCTGGTCTGTCCCTCTCTGGTCTCTCTCTGATCTCTCTCTGGTCTCTCTCTCTGATCTCTCTCTCTGATCTCTCTCTCTCTCTGGTCTCTCTCTCTGATCTCTCTCTCTCTCTGGTCTCTCTCTTGTCTCTTTCTGGCCTCTCTTTGGTCTCTTTCTGGTCTCTCTTTGGTCTCTTTCTGGTCTCTCTCTGGTGACGAGCCGTGGAGCTGTCCGGGTGAGTGAGGCGCTCTGTGTTCCAGGTGGTGTACTTCACGGCCACGTTCCCGTACGTGGTCCTGGTCATCCTCCTGATCCGAGGAGTCACTTTACCGGGAGCCTTCGACGGAATCCTGTACTTCATCACCCCCAAGTGGGAGAAGCTCAACGACGCCAAGGTACGACTGAGTGTGACATCACCAAGGTGTTAGCCTGAAACGTCTATTGGGCTTCATTGAGCTAGTGAGCTACATTGTCCATCTATATACAGGCTATAGCTGTCCTCTTTCTGCGTGTGTGTGTCTGTGTGTATGTTTGTGTGTGTGTGTGTTCCTAATGGTGTGTGTGTCTCAGGTTTGGAAAGACGCAGCGACTCAGATCTTCTTCTCTCTCTCTGCGGCCTGGGGCGGCCTCATCACACTGTCCTCATACAACAAGTTCCACAACAACTGCTACAGGTGAGAGAGTACTGCAGGTGAGAGAGTACAACAGTTGAGCGAGTACCTCAGGTGAGAGAGTACTACTATTATACAGGTGAGAGAGTACCTCAGGTGAGAGAGTACAACAGTTGAGAGAGTACCTCAGGTGAGAGAGTACAACAGTTGAGAGAGTACCTCAGGTGAGATAGTACTACAGGTGAGAGAGTACTACTATTATACAGGTGAGAGAGTACCTCAGGTGAGAGTACTACAGGTGAGAGAGTACTACAGGTTCAAGAAGATTAAGTCCTTGTGTGAGAAGAAATCTTGAATGAAAACACATGTCGGGGCCTTCATCCCTGCTTGCAGGTCTAACTGTAGACCCCTCATCCTTACGTTTCTAAAGGCTTGTGTACACTCGCATGGCGCTGTTTACGGTTGCGGTGGACCTACACAGTTGGACCTACACAGTCACTCCTCCTCAGAACAAAAACATGAACAAACCGAGCTGTTTGAGATCATTACATGTGTTTCTACTGTAGGTTTATGTGATAGTTCTAAACTCATCGCTTCATAAGTCATTTCAACTGTTAGGTTATTACTAAATAGTTATTATTTATTAGTTATTATTAAATAGTTGTTATTAAATAACAACTGTTATTTAAAGTTCATCCTGAACTATAAATAATCCACTGCACAGAACCAGGAGGACCAGACGATGCCCAAATACAGGCCTGTTCCTCTGATGGGTCAGCGGCCGTGAAGTCCCATGAACTACTGCACAAGCCGTTCATTTGAACAGGGCGCCATCTTGGATTACCAGGGCTTGGTCTGCTCCCAAGTGCCTCGTCTATGTTCCCTGCAGCCGCTCCATGCTTCCCAGAAAGTAATCACACACGGACCAATCACAGCGGAGCTTGTCTGCGGCGGCGGCTGCAAAGTTAGAAATTTTTGAGGGTGGACAGCTACGCAAGGGTCTGCGGGACGTCTCGTCACCACCGTAACCTCAGTCACGCAGCGCGTGACTATACACTAGGCTTAACTCTAGGCCCTCATCCCTGCTCGCAGGTCTAACTCTGGTCCCTCATCCCTGCTCGCGGGTCTAACTCTAGGCCCTCATCCCTGCTCGCGGGTCTAACTCTGGGCCCTCATCGCTGCTCGCGGGTCTAACTCTGGGCCCTCATCCCTGCTCGCGGGTCTAACTCTGGGCCCTCATCGCTGCTCGCGGGTCTAACTCTGGGCCCTCATCCCTGCTTGTGGCTCTAACTCTGGGCCCTCATCCCTGCTTGTGGCTCTAACTCTGGGCCCTCATCCCTGCTTGTGGGTCTAACTCTGGGCCCTCATCCCTGCTTGTGGGTCTAACTCTAGGCCCTCATCCCTGCTCGCGGGTCTAACTCTGGGCCCTCATCGCTGCTCGCGGGTCTAACTCTGGGCCCTCATCCCTGCTCGCGGGTCTAACTCTGGGCCCTCATCCCTGCTTGTGGGTCTAACTCTGGGCCCTCATCCCTGCTTGTGGGTCTAACTCTAGGCCCTCATCCCTGCTCGTGGCTCTAACTCTGGGCCCTCATCCCTGCTTGTGGGTCTAACTCTAGGCCCTCATCCCTGCTCGCGGGTCTAACTCTGGGCCCTCATCGCTGCTCGTGGCTCTAACTCTGGGCCCTCATCCCTGCTTGTGGGTCTAACTCTAGGCCCTCATCCCTGCTCGCGGGTCTAACTCTGGGCCCTCATCGCTGCTCGTGGCTCTAACTCTAGGCCCTCATCCCTGCTCGCGGGTCTAACTCTAGGCCCTCATCCCTGCTCGCGGGTCTAACTCTGGGCCCTCATCGCTGCTCGTGGCTCTAACTCTAGGCCCTCATCCCTGCTCGTGGCTCTAACTCTGGGCCCTCATCCCTGCTTGTGGGTCTAACTCTAGGCCCTCATCCCTGCTCGCGGGTCTAACTCTGGGCCCTCATCGCTGCTCGTGGCTCTAACTCTGGGCCCTCATCCCTGCTTGTGGGTCTAACTCTAGGCCCTCATCCCTGCTCGCGGGTCTAACTCTGGGCCCTCATCGCTGCTCGTGGCTCTAACTCTGGGCCCTCATCCCTGCTTGTGGGTCTAACTCTAGGCCCTCATCCCTGCTCGCGGGTCTAACTCTGGGCCCTCATCGCTGCTCGTGGCTCTAACTCTAGGCCCTCATCCCTGCTCGCGGGTCTAACTCTGGGCCCTCATCGCTGCTCGTGGCTCTAACTCTGGGCCCTCATCCCTGCTTGCGGCTCTAACTGCCCTTGTTCCACAGAGACACCATCATCGTCACCTGCACCAACAGTGCCACCAGTATCTTCGCCGGCTTCGTCATCTTCAGCGTCATCGGGTTCATGGCTCACGAGCTCAAAGTCCCCATCGAGCAAGTGGCCGACGAAGGTACCCCCCACCCTTCTGCTCAAATGCAGTGTTTCAAACTGCCCCCCACCCTTCTGCTCAGACTCTGTGTTTCAAACTGCCCCCCACCCTTCTGCTCAAACGCTGTGTTTCAAACTGCCCCTCACCCTTCTGCTCAGACTCTGTGTTTCAAACTGCCCCCCACCCTTCTGCTCAGACTCTGTGTTTCAAACTGCCCCCCACCCTTCTGCTCAAACGCTGTGTTTCAAACTGCCCCCCACCCTTTTGCTCAAACGCTGTGTTTCAAACTGCCCCCCACCCTTCTGCTCAGACTCTGTGTTTCAAACTGCCCCCCGCTTTAAAGTCACGTAGCCCAGCTTTAATGTACATGTGTGTGTTCAGGTCCTGGGATTGCGTTCGTGGTTTACCCGGAGGCCCTCACTCGTCTCCCGCTGTCTCCATTCTGGGCCATCATCTTCTTCCTCATGCTGCTCACACTGGGACTGGACACAATGGTACACAACTGTGACACAACTGTGACACAACTGTAACACAACAGTAAACACAACTGTGACACAACTGTAACACAACTGTAACACAACAGTAAACACAACTGTAACACAACAGTAAACACAACTGTAAAACAACAGTAAACACACTGTGACACAACTGTGACACAACAGTAAACACAACTGTAACACAACAGTAAACACAACTGTGACACAACTGTAACACAACAGTAATTCAAATCAGAAATGCAGTAATAACAAACAACTGAGGACCGCTGTCGTTGTGTCCTTGGGCAAGACACATAACCCCACTTTGCCTGAAGCCCCCACTGTGCTCCTGTGGACTCTGACTCCCCCCCCCCCCCCCCCCGCCATTGGAGACCCCCCCCCCATCAGAGACTTTTTTCATGTTTTTATTTATTTCATTCATTTAAAAACAAATGCAACAACAGCATTTAGCATGAATGAAAAGGAGCAGAAAGAAGTAAAAACTTATAATGTCTGCCCCCCCACATTAGACCCTGTGTTTCCGCCTCACTCTAACAGTTTGTGTGTTTTCAGTTTGCGACGATAGAAACGATTGTGACGTCGGTGTCGGACGAGTTTCCCAAATATCTGCGGAAACACAAACCTGTGTTTACTCTGATCTGCTGCTCCTCCTTCTTCATCCTGGGCTTTCCCATGATCACAGAGGTACTCTACCCTGCTCTACTCTACTCTACTCTACTCTACCCTGCTCTACTCTACTCTACTCTACCCTACTCTACCTTACTCTACTCTACTCTACTCTACTCTACCCTGCTCTACTCTACTCTACTCTACCCTACTCTACTCTACTCTACCTTACTCTACTCTACTCTACCCTACCCTACTCTACTCTACTCTACTCTACCCTGCTCTACTCTACTCTACTCTACTCTACCTTACTCTACTCTACTCTACTCTACTCTACCCTACCCTACCCTACCCTACCCTACTCTACTCTACTCTACCCTGCTCTACTCTACTCTACTCTACTCTACCTTACTCTACTCTACTCTACTCTACTCTACTCTACCCTGCTCTACTCTACTCTACTCTACTCTACTCTACCCTGCTCTACTCTACTCTACTCTACCCTACTCTACTCTACTCTACCCTACCCTACCCTACTCTACTCTACTCTACCTTACTCTACTCTACTCTACTCTACCCTACCCTACTCTACCCTACCCTACCCTACTCTACTCTACTCTACCCTGCTCTACTCTACTCTACTCTACCTTACCCTACCCTACTCTATTCTACTCTACCCTGCTCTACTCTACTCTACTCTACTCTACTCTACTCTACCCTACTCTACTCTACTCTACCCTACTCTACTCTACTCTACCTTACTCTACTCTACTGTGCTCTACTCTACTCTACTCTACTCTACCCTACTCTACTCTACTCTACTCTACTCTACCCTACCCTTCCCTTCCCTACTCTACTCTACTCTACTCTACTCTACCTTACTCTACTCTACTCTACTCTACTCTACTCTACTCTACTCTACTCTACTCTACTCTACTCTACTCTACTCTACTCTACTCTACCCTACTCTACTCTACTCTACTCTACTCTACTCTACTCTACTCTTGTCTCCTCAGAGTGGGATGTACATGCTGCAGCTGGTCGACACCTTCGCCGCCTCTTACTCCCTCGTCATCATCGCCATCTTTGAGCTTGTGGGGATCTCCTACCTCTACGGTGAGAAACACATGCACTCAATTTCTTTGTGTATCGCCCTAAATCCAAACAGCGTCCAAGGACTTTACAAAGTTGTGGATTCACCAACAACAGATCCAATAATCGAACCGCTAATGCAATCATAACAAACACATAGAAGCTGCTGGACCATAGGGAGTGGAACTGAGACTGTAGAGCCAGGACTAAGACTGTAGGCCCGGGACTGAGACTGTAGACCCAGGATTGAGACTGTAGACCCAGGACTGAGACTGTAGACCCAGGACTAAGACTGTAGGCCCAGGACTGAGGCTGTAGACCCAGGATTGAGACTGTAGACCCAGGACTGAGACTGTAGACCCAGGACTGAGGCTGTAGACCCAGGACTGAGACTGTAGAGCCAGGACTGAGGCTGTAGACCCAGGACTGAGGCTGTAGACCAAGGACTGAGGCTGTAGACCCAGGACTGAGGCTGTAGACCAAGGACTGAGGCTGTAGACCCAGGACTGAGGCTGTAGACCCAGGACTGAGACTGTAGAGCCAGGACTAAGACTGTAGACCCAGGACTGAGACTGTAGGCACCGGACTGAGACTGTAGACCCAGGACTGAGACTGTAGACTCAGGACTGAGACTGTAGACCCAGGACTAAGACTGTAGGCCCAGGACTGAGACTGTAGGCCCAGGATTGAGACTGTAGACCCAGGACTGAGACTGTAGACCCAGGACTAAGACTGTAGGCCCAGGACTGAGGCTGTAGACCCAGGATTGAGGCTGTAGACCCAGGACTGAGGCTGTAGACCAAGGACTGAGGCTGTAGACCCAGGACTGAGGCTGTAGACCAAGGACTGAGGCTGTAGACCCAGGACTGAGACTGTAGACCCAGGACTGAGACTGTAGACCCAGGACTAAGACTGTAGGGCCAGGACTGAGACTGTAGACCCAGGATTGAGACTGTAGACCTAGGACTGAGACTGTAGACCCAGGACTAAGACTGTAGACCCAGGACTAAGACTGTAGGCCCAGGACTGAGGCTGTAGACCCAGGATTGAGTCTGTAGACCCAGGACTGAGGCTGTAGATCCAGGACTGAGGCTGTAGACCCAGGACTGAGGCTGTAGACCAAGGACTGAGGCTGTAGACCCAGGACTGAGGCTGTAGACCCAGGACTGAGGCTGTAGATCCAGGACTGAGGCTGTAGACCCAGGACTGAGGCTGTAGACCAAGGACTGAGGCTGTAGACCCAGGACTGAGACTGTAGACCAAGGACTGAGGCTGTAGACCAAGGACTGAGGCTGTAGATCCAGGACTGAGGCTGTAGAACCTAATGGGACAGCGGGTGAAAAGCAATGAACAGACTACAGCTAAAATACTACTCACTTGAATGTGTATTACCACATGTGTCCACCAGGGGTCAGATGTGGGTTTGTCCTAAATGTTTTTGTGCTCGTGCAGGTCTGCAGAGGTTCTGTGAAGACATTGAGATGATGGTCGGGTTTCAGCCCAATCGCTTCTGGAGACTTTGCTGGGCCTTTGTCACTCCCACCATCCTCACTGTGAGTCTGTGAAGCGGTCTCTCTCTGGTCTCTCTCTGGTCTCTCTCTGGCCTCTCTCTCTGGTCTCTCTCTGGTCTTTCTCTGGTATCTCTCTCTAGTCTCTCTCTGGTCTCTCTCTGGTCTCTCTCTGACCTCTCTCTCTGGTCTCTCTCTGGTCTTTCTCTGGTATCTCTCTCTAGTCTCTCTCTGGTCTCTCTCTGGTCTCTCTCTGGCCTCTCTCTCTGGTCTCTCTCTGGTCTTTCTCTGGTATCTCTCTCTGGGCTCTCTCTGGTCTCTCTCTACTTTCTCACAGGGGATCCTCTTCTTCTCTGGTCTCTCTATGGTCTCTCTTTGGTCTCTTTCTGGTCTCTCTCTGGTCTCTCTCTCTGGTCTCTCTCTGGTCCCTCTCTGGTCTCTCTCTGGTCTCTCTCTCTGCTCCAGGGTGCAGTGGTTTAAGATGGGGAAATGTCAGTGTTGCATCAGCAGGTACAGAACAGTAGGAGTGAACAAACTCTTCTGAAAATAAAATAATATCTCTAATTTTAGCAAAATAAAGAAGCAAGGATGAAGTATAAAAATAATGAGTCTTACATTCTCAGGCATTTATGCTGTTGCAGACCTGGCTCAGTCCTGCTTCAGACCTGGCTCAGACCTGGTTCAGACCTGGCTCAGTCCTGGCTCAGACCTGGTTCAGTCCTGGTTCAGTCCTGGTTCAAACCTGGTTCAGTCCTGGTTCAGTCCCGGTCCTCTATGCTCACAGGGGATCCTCTTCCTGAGCCTGTACCAGTGGCAGACCATGACGTATGAGGACTACACGTACCCGGCCTGGTCCATGGTCATGGGGTGGCTCATGGTCATCTGCTCCGTCATCTGGATCCCCATCATGTTCCTCATCAAGATGCACCTGGCGCCCGGATCCTTCTCGGAGGTACGAAGACCAGGACTGGTCTCTCTCTGGTCTCTCTCTGGTCTCTCTCTCTGGTCACTCCTTGGTCACTCCCTGGTCTCTCCTTGGTCTCTCTCTGGTCTCTCTCTGGTCTGTCTCTCTAGTCTCACTCCCTGGTCTCTCTCTGGTCTCTCTCTGGTCTCTCCTTGGTCCCTCTCTGGTCTCTCCTTGGTCTCTCTCTGGTCTCTCTCTGGTCTCTCTCTCTGGTCTCTCCTTGGTCTCTCTCTGGTCTCTCTCTGGTCTGTCTCTCTAGTCTCACTCCCTGGTATCTCTCTGGTCTCTCCTTGGTCCCTCTCTGGTCTCTCCTTGGTCTCTCCTTGGTCTCTCTCTGGTCTCTCTCTCTGGTCTCTCTCTCTGGTCTGTCTCTCTGGTCTGTCTGTCTAGTCTCACTCCCTGGTCTCTCTCTGGTCTCTCTGGTCTCTCTCTCTGCTCGCTCTCTCTGGTCTCTCTCTGGTCTCTCTCTGGTCTCTCTCTGGTCTCTCTCTGGTCACTCCCTGGTCTCTCTCTGGTCACTCCCTGGTCTCTCCTTGGTCTCTCTCTAGTGTGTCTGTACATAGTCTTACATTTTCCTTTCACTCTTTTACTGCACTGTCTCTGTCTTGTTTAGTCCAGCCCTTTGAGTCACTTTGCTTCTGCCTTGTGTCTGTATTGTGCTTAGGGATGTACCGAATCCAGGTTTTTGGGGTTCGGCCGAATACCGAATCCACTGGTTAAGATTCTGCCGAATCCGAACCGGAAAACTGAATCCTATTCCATCCTCAGTCCATTGATGTTTCATATGCAAATGTTTAAACAGCGGCGGTGTTGTGAACCGTTTAGGGTCCTTACCACCACGAGACAAATGGGCATTGCAAATTGGACATGTAGCTCGACCAGAATCTATTATTATAACATTTATAATAATCCCGTTTATCATTAAACACAAATACATTCAGTTCACAGCAGTGTAAAACTTCAGAGATAAAGTACATATATTACTGTGCATGTCATGTAGAAATAAGAGCTAAAGCACCACACATGCATAAATAGCTTCCACTGGTTCAGGTCAAAACATTACATATATGGACATTTGAGAAATGTGCCAAACTCGTCAGAGACAAGTTGAGAGAAGCTAATGCTAAGAGGCTAGTTGCCTAAACATGGACTCACCAACTCTGCTTCATACGCAGCTCAGATGACAAGTACCTGGCACTGGGAATCGGCTCCATAAAGTTGGTGAATAGGAAGTTAGTTTATGATTCATCAGAACCGCATTACAGGTGAAAACAAGAATCATAACATCCCCTCGCACCGGCATATAACTAGAGCCGATTGGTCCGCTGGGATCACATGACCAGGAAGAGACCTCAGCACCCGAAGAGGAACAGAGACCAAGAGGATATAAACCTCCGCTAAAGTGCATGTTTATTTACACTTCCAAACGAATCTGCCACAGCGCGCATAGTGTAAGTGCAAGGTTTGGGTTCGGTGGGGAAAAATTATAAGGTTCGGCCAGAAACCAAACCCCGTCAAAAAAGCCAATTTTTGGCCGAATCCGAACCCGAATCCTGGATTCGGTACATCCCTAATTGTGCTATATAAATAACCCCCCCCCCCCCCTCTCTCCTGCAGCGGCTGAAGTTGGTGTGTTCGCCGCAGCCCGACTGGGGCCCGTTCCTCCTGAAGCACCGCGGAGAGCGCTACAAGAACATGATGGACCCACTGGGCACAAACTCACTGGGTCTCAAACTGCCGCCCAAGGACTTCCAGCTCGGAGCCTTCCAGTAGCAGCAGGCGCTCCGCTCTCACCCCAGCCCCGGAGCCATGTCCTGGACCTCCTCCTCCACCTCCTCCTCCACCTCCTCCACACACCAGGCTGCCCCCAGAGGCTGTGGAGGGAATGGCAGCCAAGACCATTGGCGTTTTATCTCTGCAGAAATGGCATCTCTTTCAGGCTTAAAAGTAGTGTCACAGGAGTGGATCAGTCTGTCGCTGAAACTGCTCTCCATAGTAGACAAAACTAAATGTTTATGTCCCAAATTAGTCTCGGACAATAGCAGTATCATAAGACAAACACAAAACAATGACAAGACTAGCTATAATTATGCTTAGTGTTATCCCAGTCCTCTCCTGTCTTCCTCCTAGTCTAATGCCGGTCCTCTCCTGTATTTTGCCTAGTGTTGTTCTGGTCCTCTCCTGTCTTTCTCTTAGTGTTGTACCGGTCTTCTGTCTCTCTTCTATTGTTATGTCAGTCCTCTCCTGTCTTTCCTATTGTTATGTGTTATGCTGGTCCTCTTCTGGCTTTTGCCTGGTGTTGTGCCAGTCCTCTCCTGTCTTTCTCCTAGTCTCATGCCGGTCCTCTTCTGCCTTTCTCCTAGTGTTAGGCTGGTCCTCTCTGCTCCTGTCTTTTGCCTAGTGTTGTATCGGTCCTCGTCTGTCTTTGTTCTACTGTTATGTCAGTTCTCTTCTGTCTTTCTCCTAGTGTTATGCCGGTCTTTCTCCTAGTGTTATGCCGGTCTTTCTCCTAGTGTTATGCCGGTCTTTCTCCTGGTGTTATGCCTATCTTTCTCCTGATGTTATGCCTATCTTTCTCCTGGTGTTATGCTGGTCCTCTCCTAGTGTTATGCCGGTCTTTCTCCTAGTGTTATGCTGGTCCTCTCCTGTCTTCCTCCTAGTGTTATGCTGGTCCTCTCCTGTCTTCCTGCTAGTGTTATGCTGGTCCTCTCCTGTCTTCCTCCTAGTGTTATGCTGGTCCTCTCCTGTCAAAAGGGACTGAAAGAGTAAAAAACACCTGCAGACGAGTTTTACCTGGAGTTAGCGCTTAAGCTAACATAAACACCTTTAAGCCTGTGCAGAGATCCGGTTTTTGCCGCGTGACTCCTTCCTCCTCCATCCAAAGCCAAGTAACGCCAGTTTCTAAACACGCCATCGTTTCCATGACGACCCCCCCCCCCTCACCCGTAACCGTTCCGTTTCCCGGAGGACTTTTACGTGTTTTTTCGGAGCTTGTACTGACTCCGGTTTGTGGTCACTTTTCTGAACCCTTTTCCAGGGAAGATTTAAGACAAAAAAATGTGTCGTAAAAAAGCAACGAGTGAGAGAAAAAACTTTTGAGCTGCTCCGATGGGAGTTCTGTCTGTGTCTCTGTGTGCGTGTGCCGCCAACTCCTAGACTCATAAATATATATTACACTGAATATTTATTAGAATATTTACCTGGGGCAGAAGTGAGACGGCTTTTCTGTCCGAGGTTTCTGCAAATCACTCAGAATAGAATGATAAAGACATTAGAATAGAAAGATATTCACTACTTTCAAAAACTCTTGGTTCTATCATAATCATTTCTCCAGTGTGAGATCAATAAAGTCTATCTGATCTTAATATAATAATAATAATAATAATAATAATAATAAAGGTGGGAATTGGCAGAAATTTAATTCATTTCGCAATATAACATTATTTAGATTTAAGAATCTGAATAATGTTAAATTGGGAAAGGAAATACAATTTTTTTAACATGCAATACAGAAAGTATTAGGATTCGATTCTGTGATATATTACGATTTATGTCCTTCCTATTATTCAAAGACTTTACAAACATTTAGGAAAATGAAATTAAGATTCAGCTCTAATGTCACAGTTGTTCTGGTCTGCACAGTGACTGAACATGGAGGGCCTTATCACAGACATTACTACTTTGCTCTGATGTATCGTAAGCGCAAAATATTGCGATACTGAACAAATCGATCTTTCCCCCACATCACTAATCTATCATGAGCTTGTTTGTTTTGGCCCCTGTCACAACTTTAGATTATCCTTTAATGAAACAGCTCAAAACTTAATTTATAGACTCACTGGGTTCTTTCTAAGCAAAAGATCAAATGTTTTCTAATGGGATCAAAATAAGTGACATTCCTCAGCTTTAGTCCCGTTGTAGCACCGCTAAATGTGACTAAAAATGAGTGTAAAAATCCATAAATTTACATCCTGCATCAACGAGGAACCACTGAAAAACCCAGAGGGTAAAAATGGGAAGAAACCTCAGGGTCCCAGACTGAGAGGGATCCGATCCCAGGGTCTCAGGCATGAGTCTGGACCAGGAAAGGCCAAAACATAAATAACAAAATGAAAAGAACAAATCCCTCCATAAATAGACTCACAGACTTTAAATAACGGATCTTTTTTTGCTTTTTTCCCCATTTGAAACTGCTATGAACAAGTATTGTTATTCAGTATTTCTTTTCCTCCCTGAGCCCTTTGTTCAAATGCGCCAAAGACGAAAAATTATGTATATTTATTATTATTATCATTACTTATACATATATATATATATGTGGAGGTGCAGCCCATACGTACACGGAGACAGCTCCATTAATAAAGAATATACTCACAACCAAGGACACACCCTAGACTTGGTTTCAACACATTAACTGCTACGGACTGTAGTTAACAGTGAATATCTGTGTGAAGTTGATAATTATAAAATATCAATATCTTTATGCGTACACATCCAGCACTTATGTGTATAGTACGGTCCAGGTCATGTGACTTTGAAGTAAAGTATGTTATGGTCGTTTGCAGAAACGTTTGAACAGAAAAGTCTCATTAATCCGTGTGAGAAACTGCCTCCTGCTTCTGCGGCTTTTGCTTTTGTCTAAAACATATATTTTCCAGTTGAACCCACTTGTGATGTCACACGGCTCCTGTAGGGTCCTTTGGGGGATCTCTGGACCGTGGAGCTGGTTCTTAAAGGGATTGGAGACTGTGGTCATTCAAATTATGTCACAAAATCTTTCTAAAATAAATCTAAAAGACATAAACAGGTAAATATTGAAGATGGGGGTAAGTCCCCTACTGTATGAATATCATTTAAACATATTTTAGTTGTGTTTTTAAGGCCACAGTCTCCCAGTCCCTCCCGCACAGCTCTATAGTCCCATGTCTTCTTTCTCTGTCCTTTTGTATCGTGTAACGTCTAGAAAAGTCACTTGCAAAATTGTAATCGCTAACCTGTGTCCGTTTACGCCCAGTTTATCCGGGGATATGTGTGCTTTTTACGTTTTTTACAGATTATATTAACTCTATTAGAAAGTAAATATATATATTTATCCCGTATCGTCCGATCTGTGTAGCCTCCAGAGCTAACATGCTAACAGTGCGAACATGCTAAAGCTATCTCCATGTTGTGTTGTGGTGCAGTGAATGTGTCAGCGGTCGTGGCTAGCTGTGGTAGCGCTAACTGTAGCTAGAGTTTAGGCTTAGTTCAGTCCGGGTTTGTACGTGTCGTGTCGTCTTAAATGTTTTTTAGATTTTTTAGATTCAAAAACTGCAAAAGTACAAGTCTGAACGTGGAAAGGATTTGAATTCAGGAAATGAGTTGAGATTTTAGTTTAGAATGATTTTAAAAATGAGTTGTTTTGAACTGGTCTGACTTAAAGATAAGAACCTTTATTCAAGTGACAGAGTACAATAGTACCTGATATTCACTTTTTATTTATAATAGATAAATAATAAAAATACATATTTAATATAAAAAGATAAAGATATATCTAATATATGAATATAAACTACCCTTGTTCTTGTAGTGTGTTTACAATTTACCATGTTTCAGTAAAGGAATGTTACAATACATTTTTTTATATTTTTACTTAAAATGAGATAAATATAAAACAAACAATACATAATTTACTTTGTTTTATGTATATAGTTGTATCTATATAAATTTAAGTCTAGGTTTATGTAATTCAACCCACTGTGCTGACCTAAAACTAAATCATATAAAACTCTGAAACTCTACATGAGTCTATATTTAAAGTTAGTAAGTATTATTTAATCTGTACAGCACGTTTCACAGTCCTAGTATATCTTCATTTACTTGGATCCCTGTTAGCTTCCACAAGTGGTCGCTAGTCTTCCTTTGGTCCACATTAGCATTATAGTAAGTTAGTCATAGTAAGGTATACATGTTGTTTTAAATCAAATGGAACAAAATGTTTTCAAACTATTTATGATTCAAATTAGTTTTAAAATCAGAATCGTCTTTGAGGTCCACCCAGTCTCCGAGATCGGGCCGGGTCCGAAAGGCCGAGGTCTGTGGAGGGTGAAGCTCATACGTCCACAAAGACATAATATGAAAAAAACATTAAGATCATCAGAACAAAGTGAAAAAGGACAAATCGCTCCAACAGGGCCACGAATAAAGAACACACTCACAACCAAGGACACACCCTAGACTTGGTTTCAACACATTAACTGTGACTATGTGTGTAAAGTTTTGTAATTTCGTCAAACTCAACTCCTGAATTCTTTGTTCCAAACAGACTTGTAACGATTGTTTTGCAGTAAACGGGGAAAGTCTCCACGCACTTTTGCACCAACACAAGATTTTATAACAAAAAAAGTGTAAAATTTTCACTTAACAAAAAAATTTGAATCATGAACTGAGTGTAATGTTTACTAGAAATGATTAATATTTATCCAAACACTTTACTGCTTTAAAATCACTTTAATCCATATGTAGCACCATCACTACTACTACTACTACTACTACTACTACTACTACAACAGTAGTACTACTACTACTACTACAGTTACACAGTACTACTACAGTACTACTGCTTCTACTTCTACTACTGCTGCTACTACTACTACAACAGTTCTACTTCAGTTCTACTTCAGTTCTACTTCAGTACTATTTCTACAGCACTACTGTAATCCAGTAGTGCTACTACAACTACTACTACTATTATTACTACCACTACTACGACTAATACAGTACTACAAATAGAA